TTCCAGGCATCTTTAGATTTTTGAACCAGTCTTGTATTAAGGCTTTTGATTGGTTGTAAGAGACTTTTAATTTTATAATTAACCAATGGCTGAGTTTTAATGCAGGATTTGTCTTCGTGCGCCGCTTTTCATGGAATGACATGAATGTGTCACAAAATCACCACTGTATGAGCGCATCTACTTATGTTTCTTAATTCGAAATTTAACCATGTTCATGTTTGAATGTTAAATACTGCTCAAGCCGGTGCTAGGGTGCCTTCAACTTTGTCGTTTTGGGTGTTCTATAAGATAACCATTTTTCTTATTTCAGTTCTTGTTTTGTTTTACGACCACCGATTGATACAAGTATTTGCATGTGGTTGATGAAATTATGAAACTAATTTTCATTAATTTGATATGTCATTTTTTTCAAATTGAATATCTGAATGTCATAGTCATGTAGAGGCATGCCAGCAATAAATGCTATATATATGTTTAGTCTTGTAAGTGTTTTTTAAAAGTAGCATGCCTCCAGATTCATGATAATTTTCATGAAAATTTCGAAAGTGTATTTAAGTATTTTATGGAGTGAACAAAGAAAGTAATTAATACATTGCAAACGGTACTTACAATTCACGTCAATAACCAGAAAGAGGTCAAAATTTGCAAAAATATCCATTACTGCGTAGTCACGCAGTCGAAATGAGGGGATAATTCTGCAAAGTCAGTCATTTATCAACAAAACATGTAAAATATTACTTAAATCATGAATCAATTTTCTTTTCTTAAAGTCTTAGTTAATTGTTCTCGAGTTTGATTTTCTTGAAATATTTTGTCTCATCTGAAGTCGTGCAGCTTTAACTCTAAAATCATGAGTTATATGAAATATAACTAGTCTACTAGAATGGTTTATATTCAATGGTATTTTATAAGAAATTTCACTGTATTCTCAAATAATTGTTTTCTCGAATAAAGACTATTCAGTTTCAAGGTTTTGCACTTTTGAACTATTTTACGCCCAGTAATTTAATGAAAATGAATACTTATCCACAACTTTAAGAACAGGTTAAACTTCATTTGCGGTTTGGACCATTTGTTGATTACGACACGTAAAGAGATTCTTTGATTTCTAAACAAATGTTTAACTGATATTAAATCAACATTTTAATCAGCAAAAAGGTGCGTTTTAACAAATCAATGAGCTGCGGTCGTACATGTTTTTGGTTTGGCTTCCAGCATGACTAATATAAAAATAGATGTATTATCATTTTATGTTTGCGCGGTAAAAATATCAAAATGATTCCGTAGGCAACGCTAAGGTTGCAATTCATAATTGCTCTTGTGTGTATTCTTTTATTTGCTAATCTAAAAGTAATATTGTAATACAACATGTCAATAACATGATTTTCACATTATCTTATATGCCAACAGCTGGACAGAAAACAAAATTATCAGAAAACATCAAAAACAGCAAAATATCATATGCGTGTTATCCCCCTGTTTCAATGCAGTAGGCACATTTCCAAGGGGCAGGACATGAAGTGGTTGCACACTTGATTCAAGCGAGAAATTTGGTTGCAAACTTGACAAAATTACTACCGAGTCATGAATATTTACAACACTCGCATATATTTTCTTGTATTTCGGTACCTTCATCTTTCAAACTAAGATAACATTATTGGAGGTCCAAAACTTGTTTTACTGACTATGTTGAAGACGGTTTGGCGTGATAGGTGTAGCATCTTTCATGGTCTCACATGAACACACCCAATCAAACTGGATCTATAATTCTATAATGTCTATCTTTGTTTGTAACTGTTTTCAGAGCTCTCAGACGTCACCATCTAGTCCGCATTTTTGTAAAGCTGTAATATTTATAAGCAAGAAAAGCATCATATATTTCGGCACGTGTTTGCTTATCGTTAACTTGGCCAATCTTTACAAAAATCGTGTGTCTATAATTTTAATTTTGGACAAAGGCGAATGTATACTCAATGTTCCGCAAACTTTGTTGGTTCACAGATTTTTGTACATGATTCATTTGCGACATCAACATTTGAAAAATTAGTCGTCTTTAATGATGACAATTATCCTATATATTTCCGTGACACCCTCTTATGTATTCTTATGTACTCCTTGTCAAATATTTTAATGGTTTTAATATCTCAAAATGTTTGGAAAATTGTAATTATATTTAATTTGTCATGCACGTAATTTCTCTATTAATATTAGCTGTTATTAAACAAAATAAAATAGTTTCTAAAACGCAATAATTTTATGCGATTAATATTTATTTGCAGACAATCGTTTAAGCATTGGCAATAATTAAGTTTGAATTTTCATATTTCCAATAAAAGGAAACTTCTGATATCAATAAAAAACTTTGAAAACAGAACATTTATTCTCGTAAGCTGTGTAATTGAAAATGATAATCACATATGGTTATTTCCTTCAAGTTTCAGAAAAGTTATCTTTATGATAAAATAAAGTCACCAGAGTTGTTAAGTTTTTAATTGCTAAGTGGACAAGATGAACATTCCCATTTGAGAGATGTTGTAAAGATCTTTGTTCGGAGATGGACAAAATAACCATTTCATTTGAGAATTTTTAATGGCACATTGTGCTTCAGAAATAGATTTTTTTTGTTCTTAAGAAGAAGCAAGCATGTGTTTAATAAAGTTCAAAGCACGTCGAATGCCTATCATTGGTTAAAGTAGCCCTGAATGTGAAATAATATGAGGGCTGTCCCAGATTTTTACGTTACTGACACGGTTTTTAAGGTATTGTGTTAGTTAAATGTATATGCACTTTCTTGAAATAATGTTGTTTTTATTTCACTTTAAAGTGATGGATACACTAGCGCAAAATTTATTTCAGGCTTGTACGTTATATTTTTGTTTTACAGTCATTGTCCACGGTTTTGTTGGACATCCCTCGTATGAAATTAAGGTAGCAAAATGCTTACAAAGTGGTATTTTGATTTCCATATAGATAACCCATTCTCTATATGAAGTATACTGTTTGAAAGAAGAAGCAATAGATGATTCAGCTTTATGGTCTATGATTTTTTTTTTGGATTTTTTGGAAACCGGAACAGGACACACAAAAAAGCTTTTAAAGCTAAAAATAATAGCAATGTTGAGGCCTAATCGTTCTTTAAATTTCATGCATTCTTTTTGATATAACATTTGACAAGAAGTGTGTTGATTGAAGTTTTGAGTATCGCTCAAGCCGGTGCTAGGGGGCGTGAGGGATGTTTCACCTTTTCATTATCCCTAATGCACAGACTCGATCAAACCGAGTCTGCAATTTTCATGTAATTTTTCTGTTTTTAATGCTTCCATGGGATCACTTTTTAAAATATTTAGTTCTCTTACTTAATTATATTGAATTTTCAAGGTTCAAGTTAAAAGATATAATAATTACACTAAATATGTTTATTTCCCATTTAACATATATAATTATCTAGTTTGTTTAGTTTATCTTATTTACGAATCATTCAGATTATCTTATATAACACACAAACAATAAAAGTAAATTAAAACTGAAGAAAAAACGTAGATACATTTTTGGTTGCAGTTCATATTCTGCATTTTTTTTCAAGAAATGGAGATTTATTTTATATACTAGTTTAAAAATCATAGCTCCAGGTTTGTTTGGTTTCTCTTCGGTTTCATTATCAGTCTACACTTTCCTTGTTATCAGCACCAATCGACCTCCATAAAATTGATGGCGTCCAGTGGGATGTTAAAGTCAAATAGCTGGAAACAGTTTTTAAGTGACCGAGACAAAATTTGATAGATACGTTATAAATCATGTAAAGAAGAAATTATTTTCACATCAAAACTAAACGCAGGTGCTACAAAAAACACGATGTAAGAGGAATGTTTCAAATTAAAAAAGCGTCTCTAGTATATGTTTTACTTGTACAGTGCCAAGTTTGTTTGAGCTATGAAAACTTGCTAAGAAATTATCATATAAAATCGTGTTTTCATTGTGCGTTTGTGCAGATACTAGTAATTTTACAATCAAACGATATAAACTTGTACTTGATCCTTGATTTATAAACTATTTTAGATGCAATAGTATTCTTAAACGTTTCGAATATTTCTTTATCAATACTTTTATTAATGAATGAGTCTAAATAGGTTCTTGTGTATACTTGGCCGTTGAAGAAACAAAAACCACTAGTTTAACATGAAATAAACGTGTAATAGGAACATTATGATACTTAATAAAAGAACACTTCTATAACATGTGCCTTAACCCTTAACCTACTGAGTGAAACTGACCAGGCCAATGCGACCAGTACAGACCAGCTGGCACAAGCATGCCGACTGAACATGGTCTGCACTGTTAGCTATTTAGTCAGTGCGTGCTTATTTTGAAATTTTCCCTTAAAACGACGATAGTTTTTGTGTAGATTAAGAGTTAAAATATTTAGCGTGGTAAATACAACGTATACATGTATATGTATATCCTAATTACCTGGCATAAACTATGAAAAAAGGGAGATAACTACCCGGACGCTTTCAAGTACTAATCAATGTTATATTCCTTAGGTAATAATTATAAAAAATATCATTTTGTTGTTGTGTGACATATTTGTCAATTGGATGTGTTTAAAATGCTCATTTAAGGAGAAACTTGTGTTCATTATCGAAAAATTGTGACACTGGAGTTAAAACTATAATACTATTACTGTTCTAATTTCCTTACAACTTACGGTTGCTTAATTACCAATCAAAATGATAGATGACAAGTAAAATAGAAAAACAAATGTAAGATATTGGTCTTATCAAGATTTCTTTCAAATATGACTGTGATAATTAAAGTACATCGACCAGCGTATTTATATAAAAATATATATTTCACTCTCTGATACACAGCGTTTCCATGAAAGAACTGCGCATTTTTACGGACATGGTAACTAGGCACAAGTGATAAAGCTAAATAACGAAACTATTTTCGTTTAGAGCAGTTGAAATAACAAGACTTTCTGTAAAATGACATAAGAACAGTTTGACTTTTATATATCATTTATTCTATCCATGTTTCTAAATAGCTAAACATGACATAAATTAACAAAATATATGTTATAAGCACCATCGTGAACATTTGAAAAAAAATGTTTACATGTCAAATATACAAGTTTTTAAATAAAAATAGCAGATAAGAAATTTGAACCTCAACAGACGGCATGTACTTTCATCACAAATGTCAGAATATCAGAGGGAAGAAAAATAAACGTTTAGTTCTTGTTAGCAACTCATCTATAAGTAAGTAGGTATGTTTCTTTAATTTAACATAGATAAAAGAAAATGGTTTTTCGTATTCCATTTATTATTTAACAACATGTTAAAGAATCTAATTTTAAAGTTTAAACCATTCCTTATTTCTTGTTTGGCATCTTGAGATCTTTTTTTGCAAAAATGTATTTTTATTATAAAATAAAAAGTGTGAGAGTCAGACGAAAGTTATTTATTACATTTTTGACATGTTCTATGTAGCCACCTTTTTATTGAACACAATACACTAATAAAGAAATGACTTACAAATACATTTCACTATATAATTTATACTATATCAGTCCTGCTGTTTATATTGAAATTTACATTGATTTATTAAAAAAAACACATTCATTTTAAACATATAAAATTAAATTTTTATTGCAAATCAATACTTGCTTGATATCAAAATATCAGCAATTTAAGCGTTGATCTTGATCTTTCAGAGAATAAAAACACCTAACCAACAGCTATCTACGCCTATAAATTCTATCGCAAAAGAAGTTCTAAATAAGTTATTTGCAACAATATATTTTCATGAAAACAATGAGTGTTTATTATCTACGACTGGTCTCGAATTTTTTCTGCTGAATTTGGTAAATATGGATGATATCTGAGGGTCGGTTTATGATGAAGACCATGAGATCCGAGTGCTCCTTTTAGTAATTGACTACGTAACAAAAGTTCATGGTTGTACAATGACTGAGACGCAAGCATTTGACCGTACATTGATGAAAACATTGAGACATCCGCCGGAAGTGACGTTGGGATTGACGTTGGGAATGATGGATAATTTGCTGACGATACAGCAACCGGAAGCGTTGTTGGAAGTGTTCTCCACGCAGAAGCGAAACCCTCTGCCAAAACTGAAAGATTAAAATGAGAAAAATGTAACAATGTGTTTTGCAGTGATAAACAGGCTGATAAAATAACTGATACAGTAATCTTACAGATTCGCTTTCATCATGTAAGATTAATCGAATAGCACTTTGTGCTCCATATTGTAGCGTTTACTCTGAGATATTCGACACCAGGTACCCGCCGGTTGTAGGAAAGATGTTTTCATTTATCATTATTGTTGGCCTCCTTAACGCAAGTGTTGACTACACGCTACTATTGTACCCGTCGCTAAATTGTAAGATCTTATTTCATATATTAACCGCCTCTTTGACAAGATAATGTCTGCTCATGACTATTGGTGTAATTTTAAACCGATAGAGGGCGCTTAATGACCTAAATGACCTTTAAAATGCCTTTGGAAAAGATGGCAGCCGAAGGAATTTTCAAGCTCCTTGTCACTTTAAAGACATTATCCAGAAATAAATATATCAACAATAGGTATAAATTAGAAATAACAAACAGTAATAGTAGCTCTCAAAGAGTTTTTATGTGATTTAATTCATAAGGGTTTGTGAAAGCAGAATAATGTTTCAAGAAAACAACATTAAGATTTGATGTTAACATTAAGTCATAAAATAATAATTGATTATGAGCAAACATAACATTGGTGCGATGAATGTCTGTCCGAAAATGAGTTTTATGAATATTTACCTTTTTGTCTTTCTTGGGGTGAAAGTCGGAGTGGATCTGCCATTTCGGGGTCACCGTATGACCTTAAAGGAGTTCTTGGGTACCCGTGAGATTGCAACATTCCCTCTATACCAGTACTGTAATGATATAAAAAAAATATACATGACAATATTGAAATATATACATAAACTACAAATTATATAGCTAAATTGTTATGTATTAACTTTCATTTTAATAATCTGAGTGAAAAAAATTAAATGTGTTCATTACTTCTTGACAGGTACGCTTAAATGCCATCTCGGCTTATTTAACATATAAAAATTGTGACAAAATATAGTATTTCCGAATGTAATTGGTCAATCTGTATATAACAAAACGTGTTAAATTGTCTAGTATTATGGCATTTCGTGTGGCATGCATTATTCAATACACCTTGTCTTAAGATTGATAACACATGCGGCGATTACTTAGCGTGATTTAAGGTATTTTGTAAATATTGTGTTTCAATCGAAGTCGCCATTGCCTTAAGTCGATGTCAAGTAGTTATGTATCGCGGAGGGAGAATATCTTTATATTAATGATATGTCAAGTGAGTAATACTGTATGATAAATGTACAAAAAACCTTGAAATGTAAATAAAATGGATAGGTGTCTTGTTGAATATGGAGTTATTTACTGACATGGTGGTGTGGAAATTGTACACCAGGCCTGGGCAAACAATCGCCTCGCGTCTATAATAGCAGCCTGACACTCTCCGAAGGTGACTCTTTCGACCGCCCAGTGAAATTTATCCGTACATGGATGGATGGGTTATAGCTTGGCATTTGCGATTGTCACGGTATTATATGTAACATAGACACCGTTAAGAAGAGCTGACACCTGCTATTTTTGCCGATGTGTAATTTGTACTTACTTTTCAAACTCAGAAAGCCGTGTTGAGTCTCTAAAGCCTTTTGCGAATGGATTGCTGTCAATTTTCAACTTCGTGATCTGCAAAGGTAAAATAATATCTCGATAATGTACTTATTGCATGACGAGCCTCGCTTTCGAATCATGGAAGACTAGGTGAGAAATTGTATACAGATTACAGCATAAGACCACACAAGAGATGTATCAAAAATAATACAGAAGCCAAGAAACTGTTTATGTAGACAGATAGGCGGGGGTAGCCAGATGACCCCGGACCAGGGTTAATATGACTTGATTCTGCTGGATTCGAAGCCGACTAGGCATGAAAAGTCTTATCAAAATTATATTCGGAATGCTTCACATAACATCGATTGTAAGTCGTTAATGTGATGTCTGTTTCATTAGCGGGGGAAAAGGTTAGTTTCGCGAGTTAAAATCAGAAGTAGATTCAGTGTCTGGTGTTGGTGCCAGATTTATGTCAACTGTTGATTTACGCCTAAGGTTCAAGTGTATGTAACATTTAATGTTTTAAAAAGTGTTGCATCTCTCACAATCTGTTCAGATAAACCGTCTCTAGTCAATTTATATTGTAAATAATCTAGATTTGATACCAAGAAAACGAATGATTTCGTCTTTGTATTGTCAGGAAATGCTTTTGCGTATCCAGTTAATTTAAGCAACTTGAATTTTCTAAAGAATGTTTGTGAAATCTTAACGAAAAAATTTTGGTAACAATATTACAGAAACAAATTTTGGTATCAAAGTAAAATTTTAAAAATACTATTTTTCAATGTTAGCAGACGTTGTTTTTAAACAAGAAAATAATTAACTATATATTTACCAGTTGATTTTGGTATGCTGTCACAGCAATGAAAATAGTCTCTGTAAACACGAATGTTTTGTGTTCTTCCTCATCTAATGAAGGGGGTGGGACTTTCGTTCCTTCTGACAACTTCACTATGTGGATTCTAGGTTGGTATTTATGCATTGAATTCAAAACGATCTGTAAAACAAAGTGAAAAAATATTAAGATAGAAAATATTTTAAGCATTTTGGATTGGAAATAATAACGTAAATAACATCTACAAAATTTACTCTAAAAGATATAATATTAATCTAAAATATTCCTTATTATCAGAAAAAAAAGAAGAAATTGATAGATCATTGTCTTAGCAAACAGTATAAAAAAGTAAAACACGCAAATATTTTTTAAGATTTACGAACCTGTCCACTTTTATCTTGTGTATTATTGGTTAGTTTCAGCTTCTCAAACGATACCGTCTGCTTCATGAGTTGTTCTCCCGTGAATGCTCCGTCCGGGTGCATACACAGACGGCGTGGGGGTGGAGGGTCGGCCTTGCCTGCAACCAACCAGGAGGATCTGTGATAAGCATATCTGTATCGTTTCTTATCCAAAGGTACAATGTCCATCAACACGGCGTAACGAGCAGTGGATTCGAGTCCAGTAAATGATACTCTCACTGTTGGAAACATCCGTCTGAAAGCAAAACAGGGAGAGACATTTTAATACATGTATGATTTATAACACTAATATTAATCAATAATTAAACACGTATTTTCTCAATAATCCTTAATTGCGCACTGTAATTTTCAATTAGTTTTGACGTTTGCATATCTCATGTTTTCATTGGCCATCAATTTGTGCAAATATGATATCCCAAAATGACCTCTCTGACCTCCGCAATACGGTCCATCGGCGTTTTCAATATTAATCACTAAATCATAGGCTCGTGTCGTCTGCAGCGAAGGTGCTGCTCCCTTAATATATTTGCACTTGGAGCGAGAGCGTCCCTAGTCCATAAATCAAATTAACTTCCGTTTTCTTTAAGGGCTTGAATTTCTACTGACACCAGAACATTTCACATAAGTCTATAATTATCAGTATGGTTTATGTTGAGATATAATACGGGGTATTTAGTTTTATATTTCAACATTACCGTTCTGTTTTTCTTAATGTAAATGAAATGAAAGTACTGCGTATCGCCTTTTTTTCATAAATTTACAAAACATAAAGTATAAAGTAATACGTTATAGGGAGAAATGAAAAATAATTATCGGTATTGTTATTTCTAATTATTATTTCTCAATTTCTCAGCTTTACGTGTATTTTAAAGCTAGTGTGACTTGTCGTCAGATGATATCAAATAATGAATTATTATTCTAATATATAAACATTTTCGAAAGTGTTTTCTTAAATTCAAGAACATTCTTATATGTTATTCTGCCATGCCTTAATCTTAGTACATTAGTATTTACTGTGACTAGTTATCAACACGCACCACACATTTACTTGTATAAAGTATAGCTCGTTTTAATGTTTTAACTGTCTGAATTTTCTACTTAATTCAGAAGGTATGTATATATTCACCAGTTCAAATTTTAAAGGTCCATTCATCTTGCGCAACGTGTATTTTTATTTCGTAATGGTACGGTTAAGGTTTTGAAAGCTGTATTGTGGAATAAAAGTCTAATCAACCCCGCATATCCATTACTTTCAGCAGTTAGATGTATAATTAAACCGACATTAAAATATTTAGAGCTGATTTGATGAGTTTTCTTCACACATATTTCCTGTTATCGCAGTTTTCAAGCTCGTAAATGATCCGTGCGTAAAAGAAGTGTTTATTTCTTTTGATTTTAAATAAATAAACTCGCGTGACGCAACTCACATTTTTAGTTTTTCGAGTGAAATTAAAGCCCCCATCGTTGAATGATCGGTCGCTGAAATTACAGGGTTCGTTTTGTGTTCGTGAAGAGTAACGTTGCGTGTTAAACTATAATTCATCCAAAGATATGTAACTTAGACTTTCAACTGATGAAAATGACTTTTCCTCGCGCAGTAAGGGAAATAAAACAAGTCATCAAATTATAATCCCGAAAAAGTAGTGCACTGACAAATACGCAAAAAAAGAGAATAAGATTGTACACTATATAGGCGCAAGTAAAATTAGTTAATATCAATTTATATAATAAAAAAGGATACTATTATATATTTGTTTTAATCTATAAGACGTTCATCATGTAGTTTATTAAAGATTGTAGTGAATTAAAACACCTTCCCGGGTACCAATCAATATCCGAATTTATATCTTCTTCTTGATTACATTACATATTAACTTGAAACCATGAGTCATCGGACAAAACTGTATAATATGGATTAATTCATCAAGATATTTACATGTATACAAAGATCCCACACAAATAAAAAGACAATGTATTTTGGTATGACTCACACCTCGAGTTACCCAGAGTGTCATTTTTGAGGTTCATTCATTCAAAAAAACTTACAATCAAAACCTCGAGATTTACAACTATAACGTTTCAACAACTGACATGTTTTATTAACTAAATCTCTAATCCACTAGTTTGATTTTAACCGCAGAAGAAAGATTTCAATTTTTGATAACCACATAAGGTTTCTTCATGATGAATGGTAAGGTTAATAGTAGTTGATAGTCTGTATTGTGTACATTTTAAAGCCTAATAATTGTGTCATTTAGTTATCTCTCATCGTGTTGACGGCCGCTACAAACACTGTAATTGACCGAACTTTGGCTATTTCATCTGAATAAACTTTTTTTTCGGAACGCTAGGAAGAAATTGCGGTCATTGTACCAAGGTTGACCATCTGGCTGCTTTATATACTTAAGTTTGAACGCAAGTATGTTAAGAAAGAACTATTCAACAGTTATTTTGACAGTAAGAGAACATTGCAATATGTTTGTGCGAGAAAATCGTGCATTCTGTGATGCAGGTGTCAAATGCGCATATTGTACTTCAGTTTAGCACGGTGCGATACTGCATTTATTGAACATCTCCAAAATGATATCGTATTATCAAAATTAACAGAAACGTGTAAAGATTGAGGTAATAACGCTACTTATAGACAGACTGCTATTCTTTGAGTATATTTTATAAGCATTAGACCGAATTATAAAGTCAAGCGTCGAACTTGATTTGAAATAAAGAAACATTCTCACGATTATGTCGTATCACTCATGCTCAGCGTTCCTTGTATCATATTATATATATGCACTGCATTAACTTAAGATGTATGCAAGCTGTCTCTTCTAGAATGATTATAACGTTTTATATCAATTACTTGCAGATAACAGATATATTCTAATTCTAATATATTATCTTAATTAAATTGAAAATTATCTCGTGTAATTTTAGGAATACCCTGCAAAGTTTTTAAAATTCTCGATCGCGATAAGCACGGAATTTTCAAATAATTCAAACATTAATACACATTTTATTAGATGCGAATTAGCCCCATTTTGCATCCCGCTATATAAATATTAGCCTTTTCTATCAGAAAACTTGTTAGATTTAACAGCTATCGAGTTTCTTAATGTCAAATTCTTTCCTTCGGCCAGCGAAATTATCGAGTTGTGTTATCAAATTCCTATAAACACATCACAATGATTGATTTACAGCCCTTTCAAAACTACGTCTTTATCAGCAAAGTACAAAATACCTTGAAAAGAATCGATGATTAAATAATGAAAGCTGATCAGTTTTCGCCAAGGGGTACTACAAGGCGATATCTTGACACCTTTCCACTTCAACATCTTCATTTCAACTGCACCGAAACACGACTTGATACGAAAGTATTTTGACTAAAGACATCTACATTTATGAGAAATGTTCCCCAAGGTGTGAAATTCTAAACTTCCTATCTGTTAAATTCTATGTAAACGTCGCATGACACAATATTGTTACAAAAGTTATTTGATAAAATCTTAAATAGAATTTATGTCAAAAAGAACAAATAAACAAACAAGAAATAAAAGTCTTACATAAACATTACGGAGCATCCTCCACCCTACCCCAACTAACTCATAAATAAGCTAACAGGAAACCTCGCAAGCAAACTTTACAGACATTGGATAAAGGAAAACGCGTGTGCAAGTATTGAAACAAAATATATAAACCGTACACAAATAATTTGCCATTATTAGCACGAAATTCAAATAAAAATACGAAAAATAATCAGTTCTATTTCTTAACAAGTAAACAAAGTATCAACACATAAAATGAAATAAAAAATATCTTCAAAGAAATTTTCGCGATTGGAATATTTAGTCACACGTCTTGCCGGCAGCGTTATATTTATTGTCAGGCACGTTTGCGACTTCATAACGAGTATGTTTTGTATAGTTTCTCACATTTCAAACTCGTACATTGTAACCCTTTCCCTTTTGTCTTTTGCTTAATTTGCATATATACATTTATTCAAATGCGGCGGTGCTTTACTTTGTTTTCTCCTCATTAAAATCAATCGCCCAAGTTAACCTCTCCAGTGAATAATGAGTGTTGTTCACACAAGTTCACCTTCACTGTTCCGCCATTAATTTCGTGGGTCGTTATAGTTCTAACAGAAACCAGACCAGTAAAAGACGTAATGTTTCTTTTGGAAGACATGTAAATATTGTGTTGTCCTTCCAACGCTCTCCAAAATTTAATTTGACGTTAAGTTTTTATCATTTTAAAATCTATCAAGTAATTGTAGCAGTATTTTAACACCTGGGCTTTAGTTAAAAACTTGCATGGTAGACTTATATATCATTTTTTGTTTGCTAAATGTAACCCCATACTTAACAATTCTCTTCAAGTTATTGATGATTAACCTTGGTTTCTTTTTTGTTTGGAAACTAAAATATGAAGCGTTTGGAATGGTTAGATATCGTGATACTGAAGAATTAAACACATGGTCATGTTATTTAACAGTGCATTTTAGAGCAATGGGGTGGGTTATATCAATTAAAAAGAAACAATGATCATTGAAAAGCAATGAACGAATTACCACAAATTACGGGTTTCAAAAACTAACACATTATTCGATGACTAATTTAAATTGACGAAGCACCTGTCTTAACACTGCTTTGATTTCTTAAATTTATATGGCATTTTATGTTTTGTTTTGTTTTTTTCGGTGTTTTTCTTCTTCTTTTTCTTCTTCGCCAAATTAAAATTAATTTGAACAAATCAAAGATTAAGTTGAACAGATAAGTCACAGCTGCATCTACTTCTTGGTGACGGAATTGCTTTAAAAATGATTTTAAAATGATTTTTTTAATGATTCACGACTGATGTAACATTTGTACACATTGCAATAATATTTCATTATTTTATTGAAAATAATAAAGGATTTACATTATTCCACTATTTAAACCCCTTACCCTTTCAATAAATATATCTTGTACATATTTTATGATAGTGAATTTGAACAATACAAGGGTTGCGCTTATTTGTTAGTTAAAAATATAAAACGTTATGTCAATCCTCATTTTTTCCCTTTTATATATTACATGCGAATAATTAAGATTTTATTTTAATTAGTTTATGGTCTAGTTTCAATCTGAATATTTTATTTCACTTTCTTTATTTTCTTTATTTAAATCAAGAAAGAAACAATCCCTAAACATTGTTCATTTCTGAAAAACATATCGCATTTCTGTGAACATATCGACTTGAATAACGGAAATAGTTCCTTTAAAAGAAACCGTTTAATTATTGCAGACAGCGCGCTATTTTCTTCCCATTTTCTTTCAAAGTGGTTAAAGCTTTACGAGATATTTTTTTGTAAATTCTTATATTTGTAAGAAATGATATGATTGTCTACATCTAAAATTTCTATATATGACTGATTATTTTTTTTTATTCAACATGATAAAACTCTTACCTGCCGCTTTTTGTAATTATCATCTCAGTTCCGAGCTCACTGAACTTTTCCCATAATTCTCTCGTCTCAAGTTTGCATTTAACGGCGATTAGGGAGTCGGGACACGCAACGACGGGGCTGGGCGTTCGTACGGGTGAGAAAGCGCCCGAGTCGTTTGGTGAGACGCACTCATCCCGGACTGAATCTGTATCTCTGACAGAGTCCGATTCTGAGTCGCTTACTGTAAATAAAAATAATATTGTTTGAGCAAGATTCCTATGTACGAATTTATAATGTACGAGTAATTAAATAGTATTTAAATAAATATTAGAAAATATTAATACTGCAAGTGATGAGGGTTACGGGAAATTCAGAGTACCTTTGCATTTCTAAATGCGTAGAAACGGATAAATCATTGAAAAATTTATTATTTTTATTACAAATATTAACTAGATAATACAGTTTAAACTGTTTAATGTTACAATAAATCGTACATTATTTTTCAATAAACAGATGAGACTATGGTCTGTATGTTTTTTTCTCAAAGAAAGTGAATATTTATATTTTATATGTCATAATAAATCTAAACAAATATAGCAAAAAGGATAGTTTATATCTGGTTACAAGCCTTGCTTAAATATATATATTTATAAAAAGAATGTATTTGTCTTTCGTTCCTTTACTTTAATCAATTATCATTTATTCGGCATCTTTTTACAAGCTAAACTTATCTTTATATTTTAATAGAATAATCATTATATCACTTAATTAAATCACGATAAAATTTAAACAAATATTTATTTTCTTTATTCATAAACAAATCGGTGATGATTACAAAGCAATAAAACTTATCGATTTACATGATTTTTGACGGTTTAATTACCCTTTGAACATGCCGCTGTATTTATATTTCAAGTTAGTAATTGCTTTTAGGCAAAAAATATAGAAAGATTAATATCAAAATACATGTTTACTGTTGATATTTTTTTTCAAATCATTATTTATGATTTTAATCTATTTTTTCTTCTTTTCTATTTTTATGAGGTTTGTTAATAAATTATTTTCAGTTTGTAAGTAATAAAGAAAAAAACATGATAGCGTTAGATATATTCTTACATGATTTCATATACAGTTTCTTCTATTAGATATTAAAAGTCTATAAAAATTAGGAAAAATGAACATTCCTATGAGAAAATGAATTTACAAACAAAATGTACAAAATGATCAGGCGCTTTTTTAAAGAGAAATTAAAATGTGTCTGTTTACAGTAAAATAATGAGTTTAATATTTTAATAATACATTTTGTTTCTTCAAAGCAATATTCATATATTCATACAAGTATACAATAAATATTAAAGTAATATATTAAATTCATAGCTTTATATTTTACATAATCCCCAGCATGCGTTAGTTGCTTCTTAATTGAAATTTGCATTACTCTTCTATTAAAATTATCATTGAAATTTTCATTCCAATGTTTGCTTATGTCAGCAGAATCTCCTGCAGATTTGCATCAGAAATAAGTCACTTTGAAAAAAGCGATTTAAAAGTAGAAATATACTTACTAGACGGTGATACATTATCCGCCGATCTTTTCAATGGTTGTTCACCAATTATTGCGGCGATGGAGAAAGCCGACGCTTTTGTAGACATTTTCAAACCCGTCGGCGAAGAGTTCCTTTCGATTTCGTCTTGGATCATTTTTATTTAAATTTACAATTGCACTATGTTTTAAAACAATAAACACAACAGTTAAATGTCAGTCTTAAAAGTATTATTTCCGTCGGGTTTCGCTTTTGTCTCCCTGCGCGTAGTTAACTAAGCGATATATTCCTGCACATGCAAGTGAGTTGCTGTTTTGGAGAAACTTAATCGATTCTGACAGTCCAACATTGATTTCATTACACTCTTCACACTCAAACAAGATTTTATTTTCATGGAATGAGACATTAACAACTTTGCCCATTATTTTGTAATCCTATAGAGCCTGTGTGTAGAATAGCGGCTGCCGAACATCAGATGTAACGTGAGCTTCTATTGGTTAATCGCCCACAGAGCGGAGTGATATTACAAATGGTGGGCGGGCTCAGTTTTATCGACCAATCGCATAATTAGATTATAAACGTCTTATCTGAGCGAAGAATCGACAAATGTCTTCAATCATTTCGCTGCCGCTGCAATAGCTCTAATTAGAAAATGTGTTTCAAAAAAAATATTTCATTGGGGGTAAGGGGTTAGACAACTTAAAATGCCATAGCAGTTACACCAGGCGATGATAAAATAGTGTTTTTATAATATTGTAGCATATCTCCGATCTCATGAATTTGCTGAAATTATCGAAAAAAGATCATTGCCTTTTTAATATCATTGTGAAATAAACTTCAAAGATGTATCGCTCACTTATAATGAATATGTTTATTTTGTTCTTAATTAATTGTGAATTCGCAAAAACATAATTACTGAGGCTAACAGATATAGGTTCTTTGACTCGCTGCCAGTGTATTTGGTGGGGTCTCTTTAGTACTATGGGTGGGGTCTTGAAGTGCGTCTGAAAGAAAACAGAAATGGCGATAAAATACTTTAGAAAAGCAGACGTGAATTGTAGCAGAATGAAAGATACAAACGTAAATTTTGCGGAACAAATTGATGCAAATTAAGACTGTATGCATTTCAACTAGAGAAAATATTTGACTGCCCCACAAGTTGTTTCTATATATTTATTGGCATTTTCAGTCTTGCAAACAAATTGTGTATATATGTTGTCCTGCGTTGCACTTTGATTTACGTAATGTATACGTCATCAAGTGATTTCTGACATTAACCAAAAAATCTAAAAACACTTCCAAACAATGTGGAATAGCTGAAGAGTAGATCTGTGATTTTCAAATGTTGTCCCAAAAATAGCAAGTAAAGCTTCTATAAGTTTTTTTTGCTCTTCAAAATAATATGGCGTTGAAGGTTTATTTGAGAAACTATGCAGTTGCTATTATATTAATGCTAACGTAAAGTGACAAAAAATCTTTTTTTTTAAGAAATGTAGCTTTACGTTTGCTTATCATTGTTGTTGAAACCTTGAATTAATATAAAATAGTTGACTTGTGAATATTTCATAGATGTCTCCGTCCCTCAAGTTAGTTTCGAATTTGAATTCAACCAGCACAATGACGGATTGGTCAGTACTATATTACAACAAACAAACACTTTATCATCTACTGCTTAAAAGTACATTTATCAAATCTATACAGTTGTTTCCGAAACATATCGTGCTTTTGCTGATTAAACAGAACAAATAAATAGCCTCAATTTTGTTACATTCTTCAATCTTAGTTACAAATTTCAACAACCGACAATTAAACGAAATCGTATTTTTGCGCACGTTTAAAATACTGCTTTGTTTTCTTTTATCTTTTAAGATCTGAGGTTACGTCCCATTCAATGTTATCGTTGATTCTAAAATTTGATAAAAATCACCGTTTTGTATTTTTGAAAGATAATTGCACCTCTAAGATGTTTAAGGATCGAGTTAAGTTGTTACATTTAGGACAGGTGACTCAACGTTACGCAGTTCTATCTAATTAAATGAATCTCGCACGGCAGTTGAATTCTTTTTGAAAATAAATAAACCGGTAATTAATTTAGGTTTTTATCTATTTAATCTTCGTTATTGTACTATAGGAATTTATGGGTTTTTATATATATAAATGTACATATTGTTAAACAATATATATAAGATTTGTGGGATATTTTTGATTTTTTTAAAGCTGGGGTTTCAGTGACTAATGAATTAATGTTAAAAATGTACCAAAATAAAGAAAAAAGACCAGTTGATAGTGATGTAGAGCTTTCTCATGCTAAATGTGAATATAGTTTTGCAGTGACTAAATCATCATTCATACAGAAATAAAAAAAATAAAAGTAAGTTTTCATACACAAAATAGAAACAAATAAGTAATGAAAAAAGTTCCCAAATGTTTTTACAAAAAAACATCATAGTGATCCCTCGGAAGCATTAATTATAACAAAATTACATGAATAATGCAGACTCGGTTTTTGATTGGGTCTTCACATGAGGAATAATGAATAAGTGCAACATTCCTAACACACCTAGCACCGGCTTGAGCGGTACTCAATTCTCAACAAAATCCGCGCACTTTAATTATAACATATCAATTTAGTCCAAAAATCGGAAAGTGGGAGGGTTTAATAACCAACAACGTATTTAATTCCATTCTTTAGAGTATGCATTTTAAATTCTTTAGCGTTTTAGGAAACATATACTTATCTAGGAAATTTAATGTTAACTACAATATATAGAATCTGTAACCATAACAACGACGAGTTCACTTCCTAAGTAAAGTAACCTATAAAAGTAGTAAAATAGATGTTTTCTTCGTGCATATTCACGAAACGTACGATACAAACAGTAATATAAATTGACTCGTTTCCAACAGTTGCTCGTTCTCTCTCTAAACTTTTGTTGGCATACGTTATATTCATGGGAGATACGGCAACTGTAAATTAACGTCTGAATATTATGTTGGAAATATATAATTTGCGAGATGCATGCTGCCCTGTAAGTTTTCCAATTTGTTGTTTTAAAAATGTGGAAATTAGTCTATTTCTAATGTTGTGTAAATTAACCGTTACATCAGACAATCTGTAAAAAATCCAGTCGCTTATTTCATTCCAGAAATTAATAATGTCTGCTTTAGACAATTAATAAGGCATATTTTTGTTTAAGAATATACAGTCTCTTCTTAAAAAGATAAGTAAAATACTGGTGAATTGTGTTTTATAACCACGTATTTTGCAGATATAGTAATTGGTTTATTAAAATGGGTTTTCATTAGACAAATTTATCGCCTCTTCAGTTCAAACACAATTGTTTTACTTCAATTTTATGAAAGCATGATGCTTTTTTTAAACCATTTTTTAAGAATAAATCGGTTTGGGTGTCATGATGGTAGCCCACGTAGGGCTCTTACCACAGTGCGTAAGTTAAGAGGCAGACACCTTAGCACTTTGTTCAACTGTTCCCGTTTGATCGTTGAAGCTACACAATCATGATTTTAATGCTAAAGGAGTATACATGTAATATGCATCTGACCATTTCTCTACAATGAAAGGTACTGTTCTAAAATTGTCTGCATATACACATTTAGATTACCTTCACAATTCTTAATATGTTTTGAAGATGAAATACGAAAAATAACTATTTCAATATACTTTAACGGTGTGTGTTTGTTTATGTGCGTGAGTGCGTGCGCTCCTAATTCAAAATGTTTACAATATAAAGAAAAATTACAACAAGTGAATAATATATCAATCTTTTCTTGTTGTTCCATTTTTTATTATTATACCTCATACAAAAGCACAGCAGAGAATGTCGTGAATCTATAGGCATCATGACTCTCAATATGGGCGTTGCCAGTGATCACCTCTACCCACATATTTTGCCCCTTTGTCAGACGAACGAGCACAACATTACCGCCCTGGTCTATATGACGATTTTGTATCGTCTCGGCACAGGCAGAAGAAACAATTGTATTATCAACATTAAGCTGAACTAGGACCTATTAAATATAAAGTAAAAACACTTTTGATTAATTAGAATAACAACGAAACATGACGTTACAAAAATCTTTAATACTCTTCAATGTACGAAATATCTGACCTCATTTAAAGTACTATGCCAAACATACAACTATTCAAATAACGCTATGGATACAAGATTAGCATAAATTTTGCATTAACATGTTAAGTTACTAGAATAAAAAACGAGAATAAAGATTAACAAGGCAAAGGCAACGTTCACAGGACGCAGCCCCCGGACACACCCAATCAGGGCACACAGAAGAAAATTCACTTTTAACATGCAATATATTAAATTATATTATTATACGCTTTTAAACAAGGGATCATATACTAAATGTCATAAGTACCAAAATAAGATAAATAAAAATTACAAAACAATTATGAAATCCCTACCTGGTTTACGTCTCGATCAGCTATGAAAAACGACACCAGGTACACACCGCTGACAGGGCATGTGAAAATACCAGTGTGGTTGTTGTATGCATTTCCGTCGTTCAAGACAGCGCCATCAAATCTGATGGTCTTGTGTTCAGCCACGTTGCTTTGGTAGTTAGTCACATATGAAGAAAAGGCTACCGGACCATTTTCAAAGTTGTCTGATAGCAAAAACTTCTTTGATCTTCGCTTTTCTGCAAACATAGTAACATTATGACTAGCTATACTTGATCAAAGGTATTTGACAGATTTGTTTCCAAGTTAAAATGCAGTGTTCCTTGCTGTTTAAACAATGGACTTTTCTTACCTGAGTGATTTTAGTAATCTCTTGTATATGATATATTCCTTAAGTATTTGTAGATCGACTTAAAGATATTTCTATCCTTCCTTCTAGGTAATGACCCGATTTCTTTTGCGTAACCGTCTGAAAACTGCAAAAGGTATATGCTATCTTATTGGCTGTACACTAATCTCTGTGGTACGTATTTCTCGTTACGAAAAGTTTAATGAACGCAAGATTTACGCTTTTAAGTTACTAATTTTTGAAATGTTTTAATTTCACATGGTTAAGAAAACCAATCGTTTTGTACCTAATCACGATAATGTATATACCTTTCACTTACCTGAATTGTTTTCGCAGACCTGAACCCTATTTTTCAAATCCTCGACTTCATTTTGCAGAGCTTTCATTTGCTTTGCCAGACTCTTAATGTCAATGTCACCTTCATCCAGCTTTGAAAATGTCGCTAAAGCGACAAAACTGGCGAGATAGAACAACGTTTTTAACATCTCGGACGGGAGAATAGCATGAATAGAATATAAAGCTGTTTGTGACAGAAGTCTTATCTTACCATACTGACCTAAACTTTGTTTATTGCAAAAGCTCTGTGCACTTTGATCGAAGATAAGTAGAGAGAATGATAGTAACATAACATTGAGGAACCATTCGCTTTAATGTCTTTATCAACCAAATGTCAGTACACTTTTTGTTTGTTTTTCGTTTTGTTTGGTTTTACGGCTCACCAACACAACGATTTAAGTCTGACGGCACCAGAACTGGAAAGATGATTTTGACAAACCTCGGGGGTTACTAAATTAAAGCAACACCCGAGGCCAAAACCACCTTACCTACTGGAGCTAAGAGGTCCATAGCCTCCGGGAATTCGAACCTATGCATTAAGTCGCCTCTAAAATCACGCAGTGATATAAATTCATTTCTATACTAGAAAAAAATAAACGTCAATTTTTTCTGAAGAAGACTTAACGTCGAAAGCTAAAGAAAAGCGTTTGTTTTCATTGAACTGATTATATATTTCTAGACCAGACACATACCAAACAGAAATGAGGTTTTTAATAGCAACGAGCAAAACAGGCACTCTTTCTACAATAATGTGGGTTCATTCATTTGCACCAAGCTCATAACATCATCTTTATAATTAGATTCATATACTTACAGCTATTGTCGGAAAATCTGAAATATCAAATTCAACAATTCAACAAACAAACCGAATTCCACGGACCTGTTTACCTTGAACGAACTCACACTATCAAAATTACGGATATAAAAAACATACTGCAACCACTGAATCAGAGAAATCATCTAAATTAAATGCCTTTTGTTCAGATATTTAAATTTCAAATCATCTAATAATATTTAGATAGATATATAACGATATATACATGAATGTTTAATAATTGCAGATGATATCTCATCTTTGCCACTTTGCCGAAAAATCTCATCAAATCATGGCGAACCACATGGCACAACGCCTTATCACTACCCGTACATATCATCAAGCTAGAATGTAATGATATTTCTTTTATTTCAGGACGTCATCGGGTGGTTTCTTTTATACTGCAGGTATAACTTAGAACAATGAATTTGATGATAGATTTAAGGAATATTTCATCGATGGGCACAATAATCCCAGGCCTTGTCAACACCAAATTGCCATAATACTAGCAATGCTACATGGAATGGACAGGGGTGTCGTAATTCTTAATAAATACTAATGTTTCATCGTTAACATTTGCAAGGCTGTTGAATAACAGCCTCGATTGATGATGAAACTTTCCAATCATTGTTTGATAAATGACATGTTATATAATTTTTTCTCTTTCTTTTTGTAGTAGAATCTTCGTATTGGTCTTATGAATAAGTATTTATCTAGTATGCGAATAGCATAAAACGAGTCATGTTTTCTTACCTCACGCGTGCCTCTATCTAAAAAATTTAATTTTACTAACCGTCACCGCCCGTTTTGGAATTTAAAACACAAATTTATATCTGAGGACATGGCATTCGTTTAACGCGATATATATACATTTTTTTCATTTGAAAACATCGTTTATTTCAACACCCCTGTGTGGACCAGTCATTAAAATATATTAATTGTCTGACAAGATTAACACTTGTATTTCTTTATTAGGTGGAGATAAATTCTCACGACGTAAAACAAAAGGTTCATAGATTACAGATATCACAGTTTAATGGTCACCATAATGTACTGACTGATAATGTTTTATTGAAGGAATATATCGTTAAGATATGAGGTAATTTGATTACACGAAAACATGTAAAAATAACGATATATTAAGTTAACTAATTTAGTGTTTTACATTTCACTACGGAGATAGAATTCAATTCAATTCAATATTTTATTAGACATATAAACATTATATACAGTTTTTTTGCCTAAATGAATATATTAGGCGGCAACAAATATCATGAGAAGAGTATGTTATATACAAAGAATGATGATAAATGTCAATTATAATATATATATGTATAAGGAAACACTCATATTTATACATTTCAATTCGATAGCACATAAATTTATTTGCAAGTGACTACTACATTGTCCGATAAAATATTCCGATTACTGGGTCGTATAATTATAAGAATAATATACACACTTTCTATGTGCTCATATATGCTTTTATTACACTGTTTACAATGGAGACGAGAAAATAGAAAACGCATCTTTTTTATGATATTTTCTATATAAAAATCTACGCACGCAAATGATGTTAAGCAATTAATCTGTAAAAATTCATCAATAGAGCTTGAAATATGTTTAAATTCGAATAAACAACAATTTATTTAAATTTTACTGGTGTATGCTTTTTATTCCATATTTCATATATTTCTTATAAGCATTTGTTTTATCTTACCAGTTATTTAACAATTATTTATCTAAGCTAATATCGATCACAATTTATCTGCACTGTAGATTCTACTTAAGTCAATTTTAGAAATTCTAAATAAATATATATTTGATATTTTTTGTACATAAGATTAAAGTATAATATTTTCAGATTCTCTTTTGTAAATCATAATCTATTTTAGATCTACATTAATATGATCATTACAGGACAAATCACGTGATCACTATCTTTATTTTCGCCTGTTTCATCTTATTTTTTTACTTAACTAAAATATTTTAAAATGAAAAGAAAATAAAACATAAAAGGGTGTAGGCTTTACATTGTTTTGTTTCACAATATTGACAGATTGACGTGTTTAAATACCAAGTGAAGTCGATAAAAATGTGCATCAGTAAAATCTTATCATGTTCAGTATCCATTCAAGTGTTGATTTGATATCAATGTTGTGATCGGGCGTAAAGTTACGCTGACACCGGGTGTTGAAAGTTTGGAACAACAGCTATGTCATATGGTTGACTCGTGGAATTCTGGTTAGCAGTTCATTGCAGTTTAATCCCTGTCATCTCATTTACTGGTGGAATTCCGGTCTGCAGTCCGACATGACCTAAACCCTTCAGGGACAACTTACTACACAATGTAGTAGTTTTTTAAAATTTAAAATTAACTTGCGGCGTCAAAGTGGACTTGTTTTTGCCATTTTCAAAGAGCTTTACATATGGAGATTAACATGCAGCTTCAAAATTCAATGAGGGTAACTGAGAAAAAAATATCTGGAAAAGCGTTAAATTTAGTTATCCCCAGGGCATATAATGTACAAATAACTGTAACAAAATGTATAAAAATGTTGTTCTTATCAATATATACGTATAAAATACAATTGTAAGTGCACATCACAATTATTATTTGATATTTCGCACTGGTACCTACTTTTTAGGTTACAGTGGTGTACATGTTCTAAAATCAGCTTACCAACACGGTAATGCACATTATGCTATTGCCTTACATTTGAACACGAAGAAAATATAAAATTTCAATATTAAATAACAAACAAGATATCATTACTTTGTAAGGAAGTGAAAAGCTCTCATGATAGAATACGTTTATTTGCTTATATACGCTAGATACCGTTTATGCGTCTTCATAAATATATTAGACTATTTCTGTTTTCTTCCGACTGTCGGGGTAATTAACTTCTTCTTTGGAGGTTGTTCATATTCAGTTAACTGTCACAAATGACATCATCATGGTGTCACAGTGTCAATGCAGGCTTTACATGCAATTTCGCAATGAAGAAACGCATTAAATTAAGTTGGGAGGTCTTGACACGGTTTCGTTATGCTAACTTTCGTGTGACAGTTTACTAAAGATTTCGACTTAAGCATGCAATGTCAGCTAAGCCGTTAAGTTACTCGTTATCTGTTCGATAAGAACTTTCAATTTCTGTGTAAATTCATCTTTTCTTTTAATGAATAACATTATGATATAACTACTCAACGAGAATTTTGTATTTTTAGTCACATGTGTTGAAGTAAATTCCCTCATCTAACTATTTCACAGATTAAACATGAATGAATCGTTTGCATACAATAGTTAAAACTATTTGTTTTAGTAATGTTCGACTTATTTCATTTCCTTAAACATACAGAAATCACAGCTAGACATGTAAATTTATGAATAATTAATATTTAAAATTTTACATATTTGCAATCAAATATGATTGCCAATTATTATTGCGCTAGAATGTGCTGTTATCATGTTTCAGTCTTTTCTTCAGATTATACTCGCCAATATCTATTTAAGACCTATAGTACTTGATCTTCTTCTAGAAAATAATATGGTGCATGTTTCAATTGTTTTGTATATTTATGCTATATACTGTCTTGTCACATATAATGTATTGTATATCTTCATGGGCCATATGGCGTTATGGAATATTGAAAATAAAGTTATCAATCTTATCATGTATTTTAATTGAATTTTGTGTACGTTTGATTTTCTTTATAATATAGAAAACGATCTTCACAGCACAGTGAAATGTAGAACTGCTTTTTAAAACGGTCTTTTTATATGTTTAGCATGCTGATTCAAATATATTTTACCATCTTGGTACCGAGAAGCGGAAAATAATGCTTTTAATGTTTGCACGATCAATAAGTAAAATCATAAAACCAGTAAATATGTTGCGTGTTTCAACCGTCTCTATTTATAGTTAAAGTGGGCATTCACATTTCCACAATAATGATATATTGGTGTATTTTGTTATACAAAATAGAGAAACGTAGTAATAAATCAGCTTAGGAATTTTAAAGGTGAAATCATTGACAAACTAAATTGAGTGTTAAATACGTATAACCTTAAGTGTCAAATTGACATTTTCGCTTTTTATAATTTACGAATAATTTACACCAAGTGTATCATAATTTTGATATCATAATTACCTCAATTTAAAGAAATATCGGTAATATGAGTATCAAAGTTGACTTTTTTGTCCATTGATTATAAGAAATAGTGTTTTTTTAAAAAATAATTTAAGACATAATGGTATTTCTAAACTATTTAAGAGATTTAGAGCTACATTAAGCATTGGATTATTTATTGAATATACCTTTTGTATATCAGTGTGTAGCAAAATTGCCCCCATAAATAAATAAATAAATAAATAAATAAATCGCCTCCGTGGTCGAGTGGTTAGAGTCGATGACTTCTAATCCAGTTACCTCTCTGGCGTGGGTTCCATCCCCGGGAGATGCTTTGGTAGTTTAGCGCGGAGGAAGGTAGTCTAGTACTGGTGTAACTCTCCAGGAACGATGGTTAGGAAACTACCCGCCTATATGACTGAAATACTGTTGGGAAAAAGCGTAACATAAAACAAACAAACAAACAAATAAAATAAATAAATGAAAAATAAACAAATAAATGTAAAATAAGTAAGATAACAAACAAACAAAAAAAGTCCAAAAAAAAGTCACGAAACTTTCACTTCGATAGAAAATGATATTCTCTTTATCCTCTGCTATTGTCACGCGGCGTTCATTCAACAATAAATATGAACTGTTTCCTCCTTTTTGTTGGTCCTTCATTTATTTCGATACTTTCAATAAAAACATGTCTTCCACTTGTTGCATAAAAGGTTGAGATGTTATTTATTACAGTATCATTTTAATTCAAGGACTTTCATTCTTGATGGGTCCCGTGTTAATACACTCCCCGCAGTCTGCAAGGTTCATTGTCACCAAATTATATATTTAACCAACCGCCTTGAATTGGTGTTTACGTTATTTGATTGAACTATTCGTGTCTACCCACTGCGTAATTGCGGCCTTTTATACTAACTGTCCATTCTACACTTCATCTGACCAAGAATGAGCCAAAACTGGTCATGTTTACCGATGAAATATCTTCTAAACCTGAAAGACACGGATGTAGAATATTACCAATCATGCTGCGTTGCAGACTGATTTTGCGACATACAGTCTTCGGTCAATAAATTGAAATTGTCTTCCACCTTTTAAGGTTGTGTTCATGTTGTTGAAACTGAAGTGGGAATGATGTAATGACGTAAACAGATACTTTGTCACATTTGAAATATGGCGGATAGATTAATTGACATCACTTCCGGTTGAAAGCACATACGGGACTGACGATTTGTTGAGGGGAGGGTCTGAAAGAAATAAATGACTTTCCTTTGTAATAGAAGAATGTGGTCTCGACATTTTGTGATTAAATTTTGTCCACGGCATTACACTTAGAAGTATATTTGATTAACAAAAAGTAGCGTAGTTATTTTTGGTACAAGGGGGTGAGTAAGACATATATTATTCACGTAAATTAGTTTATTACGTTGGTCTGAAATACCTTCCTATCTGACACTTTTATTATATTTATTTTTGATATAAGGTTAAGTGTGTTTAGATCCAATTATGCCATGGTTGAAGCATCAGTGATTTGAGGTGGCATGACCATCATTGGTCAAATGTCTATCTTAAGCCAACCATTTCTTCTTAACTAATACATTTGTATTCTTCGATTTTTTAATATAACAAGAACACATAGATAATCTTGCATTTTTATACATATCATAGTAAATGTTTAATGAAACAGGTGTCACTTTGCGTTTCTTATTCCAATACTTATTCATAACTGACAAAGTACTAAGATACCACAGTGTACTTCATTCATAAAACACTGTCCCAAAAGTATTCAAACCGAGATATTGTATTTGACACTTTTCATGGTCGTTTTAATCGGAGATTTGAATCTTAGATACACTACGGTTTACCCAGTCTATATTTCAACCACAAAAGACTGCCTTTCCACACCTTTTTGTTTAAACCGTTTTTCTGATGCAGATAGTGCTTTTGATAATTGGTGGCTCATGAACAAGTTTAATAAATCTTCAAATTAATGGCTTATGTCTTCAAAATTACACAAAGCAATGTGTCAATGAGAGTAAAGACCATTCTTTCTCTCGATAGTCAATTAACATAGTTCAACGGTGTGTTAACGGGCTCTATAGTAACAAAATACTGTTACAGTTTTCCAATAGAGTCAACTCATGCATTATCTGTTAATTGAGTTTTAATTACTTCTTTCCTTAAAAAGTTAAAAAGTAACCTCATTTTGAAGTTGCATTTTTTTTTAAAGAAATGTGGTTTTTAAAGTTGAAGCTAGTGGTAGTTGAGTAAAGCAATAATTGGCAAGTTTACATTTTCTCCCTCCTTATTGAGTTGAAGTTTCATTCATTAAATGTTTTCATTGATAAAATGGCGGTTGTTCAATCAGAGCTAGATTCAGTCAAACTATTTTATGTTACTTTTTTGCTTAAATTGTTGATGAGTATTTTAACTGTTTTCTATTAAATACCATATTAGTAATGTTTTTACTTTTGTTACTAACATTTATATGTACTTGTTATTTAGATTTTTTCTTTAATTCCTAAAGAGCCAACTTTACGTTGCAGTCGCAATGAGTTATTTACTATATGAACATGATGTTTAATTAATCGGTAGGTACAGTGGATGAAGTCTATCTTTCTAACCTAACTCTTCTATAATGATTATTTACCAATGTCTTGTCGAATTGGTACAAAAGAACAAATGCAAGCATATGTGAGGTATCATAGATGATAATTTATTCACTGTCAGGCATATAAGATCGAAATACGATGTTATCTTCTTGTCTTAACCTTTCAATTAGTCAACCACAGGAACGCTAATAAATAATTTCCTTATTGCTAAAACAGTGATAATTTCCAATCAAGTGTTGGATTGTTAATTTGCAAAAATGGATTGTGTTGATAAATATAATTGAGTAATAAAATATGGCGGCGTTTTATTGGTGTGGTGAGTTATAGATATGAACCACGCCTGCTACACTGCCATAAGTCTCGCTATCTCCGAGATACGACAGCGTTGTAATATATAATGTTGTCTTTATTTTTCAAATGTTTTATGTATGAGATATATTGTTTAATAAATATGTTACATAGTTTTGCAGTGTGTTTGTTTCTATGTCTTTGAATTAGTCATTTTAGTATGAGTACTCGTAAACACATATTTATATATTCATCCTGTTTCAGTGTTGAAGTTTAATTGTATTCAATAAATAGTCTGGTATAATTTAATCTTATGAACCTTTTTAAAACTTTATACTTGAGATATTATCACACATCAATTTATACAAATCGATAATCTTCTGTATATATTTACATGTATGTATTTAAATAGTTTGAATATGTTAAATTTATATTGTTCCTTGTTGAGGGCCTCATGGAAGATTGATATGTTTGTTCAAATGAGTTCTCTCGTTAAATAGTCTTTATTATTATTATTATTATCATTATTAACCTAAGTCATCAGTCATTTTGCTATTAATTTCTTGACAAATTACGTTGAAATTGAAAATCTGACGAATAAAAACACGAATAATAATAATGAGGTTCACTTGTCCATTTGTGATACACACTTTTATACTACCAGCAGCTTATCTCGTTTATTTGACGTGACCCGTCATAATCTTATGGCTCGTTATCTTAATAAGTCCCGATAAACTCAACTCACATCAGTCGAATAATAGTTAAACTTCCGAAAATATTATATTAAACAATGCCGCCGACGAATAAACTTTTAGTGCATTCTGCAAAACAAATTGTACAAGTTTGTGCAGACGGTCGTCGTGTTAAACAGGGGCCTGAAATGAATACTGTGGATATATTACAAGAAGAAGGTGTAGGATACAGTATTCTAGTTGATAGGTACGTTATATATCATTATTGTTTATTAATATATAAATGTACAACACAGCATTAATGAATGCTGGCTTTGTTATATCACGCATTTAAGCAGCATGCCTCCAATTCATGCTCATTTCCATGAAAATTCTAAAAATGTAATAAAACATTAAATGTTGCCAAGTGAACAAAGAAAATATTTTACACATTGCAAACGACACTTTAAATCCCAGAAAATTACCTAATAAAGGTAAAAAATGCAAAAATAGCCCTTACGGCGTTAGTCACGCAGTAGAAATATTGTGATAAATACAGCAAAATCAGTCTTTGCATATGACATGTAAATCATTTTACTTCTCTTAAAAGCATAGTATATTTTCGCAAAGTTGATTTTCTTGAAAGGTTTTGGCTCATCTGGAGGCATGCAGCTTTAAAGTTATATTTCTAAACCACAACTCTTGTCTTATTATATACTTTGCCATACAATTTATCAACATATGTATTTTAGATCTTTTTGCAACAATGTTAAAAGCAGATAACAAAATTATGCTTTATGCTGATGTTAAACTTAATGCTAGTGTATTTAGTATTAAGCTATCATTTTCTAAATATCTTAAAATAAACAATTTTTCGTGTACAGAAACGGGATCATAACGGACATTGGCACTGATAAAGAAGTTGCAAATAGGAACCCAGATATAAATGCAGAGACAGTTATTGATGCAAGTGGGTGTTCAATTATTCCAGGTAAATATTCTATTATTCCGGGTAAGTATTTAATTATTCCAGGTAAAGGTTATATTATTCAAGGAAAATGTTCTTTTATTCCAGGTAATCTATCATTATGAGTCATTATGTCTTTATATCAAGACATATAAGAGAAATACATGCAACAATATACACCGTAAATAATGTATTCAGCTATACAAAAAATATCTTTCAAGCTTTTATTCTTACGAGAAGAAACAGAGGGCTCTATCCTCCATTTAAAAGAGACTGCACGGAGGTATCTTGACTTGACGGGACTAGAAATGATTTTTTGAAATTAATTTTCCATTTGATGAAGGTCTAGACCAAGAACTTGTGTGCAAATTTTCAGATCATTCGCTCACTATGTTTTTCCAGAACGATTGTGAAAAAATACCCATAATTGAAAAACGCTGTAAAGCTTTTCACTCAAATCGGGCAAAGCATTGCACAAAAATTAGCAATCTATTTCCAACAATATTTCTTAATCATCTATTGCATATCTTCCTATTTTGAGTGCCCCTGCTAATCTATGTAAGAAATTCAAATTTTATGGTTTTAGGTTTTTGGACCTCAGCGGAGTTCCTTTAAAAGTGATAAATATATATATTCATATTCGATAACTGAATTACACTGAAAAGTACATTACAAATGTAATAAAACCAAATTTCGTTGACATATCGACGAAAATGAAAATGAAATCATATACAAATGAATTGTATGTATAATATTTTTCTAATATATTAATAGATACATTTTAGATTATAGATCAAATTCAATAAAGGGTTTTAACTTGATTATGTATCTGATTGTACTTTCCAACATATACTTTTATTTTGTTAAGTTTGGTTTTACGGCACACGAACACAATTTCGTCCTCTTTTTATGTAATCATATACTTTAAATTAACAAACGTTTTCCAATTATAGGTTTGGTAGATGCTCACACACATCCAGTATGGGCAGGTGACCGTGTACATGAGTTCGCTATGAAGGTAAGTATACTTGAAATGTTAGTTTAAAAACACGATATAAAGTGGAATATCTATTTAGGAATGATAAGTTAAGAACCACAATAAAGCAATATTTAATTTTTAGAACTATATTACATCAATGGGTGAATGAACTTTTTGTAAAATGTAAATACTTTTCAGACCACCTGAAACGATTTTATATATTTAGCTGTAAACAGACATGTCTGAATTTAAAATCTTTATTGTCAAAACCATTGTTATTAACAAGCTTGCAGGAGCAACATACATGGAAGTTCATAAGGCTGGTGGAGGAATACATTACACTGTCGAACATACCAGAAAAGCTTCCGAGGAGGAGCTATATGCTTCATTTAAAAACAGACTAGAAACAATACGAAGTGCTGGTACCACACTAGTAGAATGTAAGAGTGGCTATGGACTAGATGTTGATACAGAAGTGAAGATGCTGCGAGTCATTGAGAGAGCCAAACGTAACATGGCGATCGGTATATCCTCAACATATTGCGGTGCACATGCTGTTCCCAAGTGAGATATATGTTCTTTATTTGCTTGGTTTCACGTATCGAAATATGTAATATAATAAATATAGATTAATTGAAAATGTATGCTTCGTGCAAACAATTGGGTGTCATTTTCATGCGCTCCTTTTGAAAGCGGATATGCATTTATTGTCATTAATAGTCCTTACGCTATAGTTTTTATAACATTGTAGTAGAAGATCAATTCATTTCATGCATTTTGATGCATTTTGATACAATCTGCATGTAGTTTGTTTTCATAACCAATCATTAGAATAGAATTCATATATTTATATTTAAATATGTATGTATAAAGCAAAATCTATAGAAATGATAATAATAGAGAAATCCATATTCACAATGCAGGAACACAACTGCAGAGGATGCCACACGCGATGTCCTTGAAAAACAGATTCCAGAAATTCAAAGACTGATGTTAGACGACTCATTGCACGTGGACAATATTGACGTATTTTGTGAACGCGGCGTCTTTGATATAGCGCGACGAGATCTTTTTTAGAAAGGGAAAAAAGTTTGGGGGTCCCCCAATTAAAAATTTTCCCTGGAGATGAAACTTCATTCCCAACCGGGAATTTCCCCAGAGGTTTTGTTTTATTTTGGGTTTTTTTATAATGTTGTTTTCGTAAAAAAAAAAGGGAATTTAACCCCCTATTGGGTTGCCTTTTAAAATGAAAACCCCACGTCAACCCAAAGGGAAAATATTTAAAATTTTTTGATAATTAAATACCCCGAAAAAAATTACTTATTTTTTATCAAAGAACAATATAAAAAGATGGTTCCCTTTTCCTTTTTTTAAAATAACGCAAAATTTAAAATTAAACAAAACTTTATTATTAGTATTTGTTTAAAGGGGATTTAAGGCATTTTATTCTGACCCTTTCGTTGTCCCAAATTTTTTAGTTTTACCTTAGGGTGGTCATACCTTAAAATAAAACCATTTCAACACTTCACTTAGGCACTTTAATTATAACATTTATTTCATTATTGAAAAATACTTAGTGAATCATACTCTCAGTACTTTTATTTTGCTTCATTTGTCTGTTATCTAACAATATTAAAGAGTAATGTCCCTTTGATTTAAACATTAAACATAATGTCATGTCATCATTATGTGAACATTAATACATTGTTTGATACAAACATTATAGATGGGCGCAGAAATTGGTGCTCGTGCCATAAGTCACTTGGAAGAAATCTCAGAGGATGGAATATCAGCAATGGCAGCCGCTGGATCGGTAGGAGTAGTGCTACCTACAACAGCTTATATTCTTCGTCTTAAACCTCCGCCGGTCCGACAGATGATTGACAAGGGAATGGCTGTAGCTCTCGGTTCTGACTTCAATCCGAATGCTTATTGTTTGACTATGGTAATAAAACGTTTAACAAAATGATTCAATTTATGAATTTCTCGCTAATGCTACCCTTTAAATTGCTTCTGTATGGATTGTTTTCGTCCTGTCCATTGCATTCTTAAACACATGTAGATTTACATATTTTTTTCAATTTTGCAATTAACAAAAAAGTAGAGAACTAATATTTTACCGACTAGTAAATCACTTTAATTTCTTATTATAATTTAAACTTTTCAGCCACTTGTGATGCACCTTTCCTGTGTTATTTTGCGCATGAGTATGCCCGAGACACTTAATGCCGCAACAATCAACGCTGCGCATGCGCTAAATCTCTCAGACAAACATGGCTCCATCGAAGTTGGAAAATATGGAAATTTTGTTGTTTTAGATACAAACCGGTAAGAAATCATTACGAAGGATGTGTTAACTATACATGTTTTATCAAAATGTTTGTCAAGAACGAAAGGCTAAGGTAGTTCATAAGAAAGTTGTTTTCAGTATACATTAAATCTGTAGCAAAATATTTATGGAACCCCTACTTTAAAGCAAAATAAAAGAAATGCAAATAAAACAAAGAACATCAGTGCTTTCTCTATAAATAAACTGTCCCTTTCACAAGAATATTGTTATATGATGCAATGAAATGATACTACATACGAAACAATCTACAAATGTAGTTAGAAAATTGACTGTTAACATTACTAGAACCACGTTGATTTGCTTATAGCGAGTCAATTGTGCCAGATTCATATTACGCTGATGTCATAAAACGTTGCTTTTATACGCCAAATACTTAAACATATTTTTTTCGTCTAGAGTTTACAAGATATCTTTGTATAACGTCTGCACAAGTCACTGTTAATTTCATTTTACTGCCTGGTATTTCACTATAATATGAACACGTCTTTGTCATTTTGTTTAGTGATTAAGAAAGCTATATCTTACATTTCAGATGGGAAAATCTTATTTATAAATTTGGCTGCTTCACTGACATAGTGAAAAATGTCATCTTCCAGGGAGAGGTGGTCCATTCTAAGGCAAAATCTAGTAAATAAAACGCAATGCTATATATACAATGTCATTTTATTTTTGTAGCTTTTACAAACATTTGAGCATGTATGATTTTCACTGCATTGTACTTTTTATCACATTTTAATAAATCTTGAATTATGTAGATTATTGTTTTGTCATAAATCTTTAGCAGCACACCTATCTAGATTTGTTATTGATTTTTATGAAAATTTACAAAATGAGTAAATATATTAGAACGTGTGCAAATACATATATGTTGTGATTGATCATGAAGTCCTTTCTTCGGTTACCTCTGCTCTGGTATGTACTGAAGTTATCAGTTCCTTGCGAGAATGAAGGCAAATAGTACTGGTAAACTGCTTAACAGCCTGCCCATGTAAGATTCGGTGGCTGAACGGCGCTCTGGTAAATTCAATGTGGCTTATTAACGTGATCCGAAGTGAAAACTACCAAAACCACCACCATGTTAATTATATGATTACCTTAGCCAGAGAAACTTACTATCAACGATATTACCTATTAGTTTTCAAAATATGCAAAACATTCTCTTACTACGTTAGTACCGTATTCTGTTATACTAGTATATTATATATAAACAAAACAATGAATGTATGTCCTAGATATTTAAACAGGTCTTGAAATATAACTATTTGCTCTAAAATTTGATTTTTAAATGATTTATTTTACTCCTGTGGAAAGAGTTGAAAAATGTCAAACAAACAAACGGTTTTGGCGTATTTTACCATTTTCTACATCTTCAAAATTTTCAAAATATTTCATTCGTGTGTTAGATATTAAGAGTAACAGATATGTTTAAAGGTATTCAAAATACAACAATTTAAATATTACTTCATTTTCCCGTATGCAATGTTGGTCGCTTCGCAAAACAAATCGTAATACATTTTGTATTAATGGTTTAGGATTTTGACCTTTTCTGGTCTTCATATATCGTATGTGTCGCATTATATTTTGTATATAATATTATATGTGTGTAATTTGTTAATTAACTCCTTACCTTAATTCTTAATTTTCATATTGTACCCGAAATGCATGGAACAGATTCAATGTTTTTTATTATAATTTAAAGTGTTATAAGTCCGTTTCAAGAACAGGAATCAGTGTAAACCCAGCAATATGAGTTAACATTTCATAATGTTTAAACCTACAACATATTATTCTAATATTACAATTAATGTTGACCACAACGTATTTTAAACAAATAAAACGTAAAATTGATTTGAAACATAATATATTTATAACATGCAATGTCATTCAGACCATTTACATTTTATATCCTTTTGAAGTTTTGCTATGCCAAAATATTTATTATGTTTACTTTAGGCGCAATGTCAATTTCACTTCCTTATACTGACAACTGATAAGAGAATTATTGCATGGAGCTATTATAATCTTTTACGGATCGTTAAACATTTAGATTATAAGCTTATAAGCAGGACATGTTATAAACGCTTAAAAAGGAGATAACGGATTCGAAAGGAAGAATGAAGGTTAGTTTCGTTTTATAGAAATATATATATATTCAATATTTCATGTAAAATATTCAATATTTTTGTAATCGTGGAATGCTGTTTAAACATATAAAGTTTGTAAAATATATTGCAATCCGACAATAAACACAAATCTATTTCATTCGAACATAATTTATACTTCGGTTGTCCTATTCCAGATTTGAGTGTAACAACTAATCGATTTATTACAATATACAATGTACATGTATTATCAATGTTTGTTCAAACTTGAATGAATACTAATTTTGTTATTTGATTCTTGCACTAAATGTACGGAAAAAATCAAGTGTTATATTGAGATTCATTTGTTATATAATTATAATAAGTGTATTAAAACAAGTGTATTAGAAACAGTACTTTATACCTAACACTAGCATACAAGAGTAAATGTGTATGTTTTTATGTACAAATGTACTTCCTGTTACAGTAGCTGGTAGATGTGACAAAAAAGTACATTCAGAGATAACACACCTTCCAATATGCAAACATCTACATTGGGGATTTTTAAAGGTGAAACAATATGGCGTGTTGGACCATATGACCAGAAGACAGCAGAACGTTTAAAACGCAATTTGTCATTACTTACATGTCCAGACAATGCACAGGGAATAGAAAATGATCCTCTACCTTACACTATAGAACCGATCTTATTTTCAAAACAGGCAAGCTCTCATCCCGAGTTGATGCCAGAATCAATAGTAAGAGACATTTTTGATGTCAAGAACATACACAATTCAGGAAGTAAATTCCTAAATCATTCTATAGAGGATTTCATACTTGACTTGGTTTTACCAATCCCAATGGCCGGATGTCTTACACTTTTGGCATTGCAAAATTTTCACCGAGAAAAAGAAATGTTTACTGTATCCAGGAACCATAAAGAACATTGTATTGTTTTAACAGGAAGCTGCTCGGATGGACTAAGTCTGCCAGAAGTTACACACATTAAAAGAAAAAATAAAGTCACAGAAGGTCCTGATGAAGATAAAATATACATATTTACATCACTAATCGTTGACAGTGAAAACAGGAGGGCTTTCTGTTCGTTAGATACTTCGAAAAGTCCGCCTGGATATACAAGACTTATCTTCAACAAAGGGTGGTTGGAAAAGAAACCAAGTAAATATCCAAGAGAACGTATCGAAGAAACTTTTATTAAAAGAAACTATCCGGGATTCTTATCGACAGATGAAAGTGATGTGGTTGTGAGAAGAAAATTAGTTAATATTCTTAGAAAATATTTAAAGGATGAAATACGTAGTAGGGAAAAGGAACGCTTATTTCTTCGGCGAACTCCATTTGCCGATTCGACCCCAAGCGTCCATTTTTCTTGCCATGGACCAGCGGTAACTTGTGAACTAGAAAGGTCTGACTTCATGAAAGTTACAATTTCCCGTGATAATGTCGTTGCACTCCCGTGTCCACGCTGGCCACATGAAGCATCAGAATGGATCCATAGAGATCGTGTTTGGCCTCCAAAAGCTCTTGTCCGCTTCGTTGTTAAAGGTGGTTGTCATATTGTCCCAAAAGGGGATAAGCACCACAAAGATGTCCACGACTTCCTCATCTCATTCTCTCACTGTGAGAAACTTATTGCCCTGAGTCTGAGTATCAAACAGAAGAGATGTTACATGTTGTTCAAGTTCTTATTCAAGTATTCCATAAATAGAATAAATCGCGGGTTAACGACCTACCACTGCAAAACTATATTTTTCCGTCTCTGCGAGAAAATCCACGAAGATCAGTGGAGTGAAATACATCCCTTTGGTTTTTTGATGAGGTTACTCAATCAGATGGAAAACTGTCTGCGAATCGGATATTTGCCAATGTACTTCATACCAAAGCGGAACATGATTCACTTCATGACGAAACGCACGAGGGAGGTAGTGTTGTCTGACATTCAGAAGGTTATTGAGAACCCAGTAGGTATCTTTCTAGAGCTCACAGAAAAACACAGGTTCTGCTGGCTTTCACAAGACATATCTGCAGCGTGTTTGTTCACGCCTTTATTGGTAAATCAAAATTTGTCGAAGAGTTTAGCACAGGAAACGTTATTAACTTACATATCAACACTGCTGGACAAAGGAGAAGTGAGCTTTGTTCTCTCTCTGTTATGCGGAACTGAAATATGTGACGATCCACCCTCTACAGAAACTGCAATTTATTATGTAGAGAAGGCAGCTGAAAGCGATGGTGGACGAAGATGTATACGCGTGCAGGCTTTACTTGCGACACTTTACCACCAGCATGCATGCAGCATATCTTTTGGGTCTTTAAATGGTCGGAAATTAATGGTGAAAAGTTTGGGTATATTTGTGAACATTCTTCGAGAAGAAAATTGTAGTGCGTGGGTAGTTGGTGAATACTACAATCTACTGTTCAACTTACAATGTTATGACAAGATCATGAACCATTTCACAACTTTAGTAAGAAGAGACTGCAATCCAACAGCCATAGATTTTTTCAAAAGTGGAATATACACAGTTGTAGATTACCATAACCGAAGTACAGCAGAAAAGGCAATACAAGTATCCCCGGAATTCATCGTACCTTCTATACTGTATGTCAGTTACAAAGCTATAACGGCCTGTATATGCTTCATGGGGCAATACAAACTTCCAAAGGAGGACATTGAGGCCATTTTTAAGTTTAATGAGAAGCTAATGAAGAAGTTACAACTTTGGTTATCAGAGAAGGAGAGGTTGTACCCCGAATACACAGACGAGTATGCCCATATTATTCTTGGTCTGGGGTATAAGCATCTTGATGACATAGAAAATTACAAAAACGAATTTTGTGCTGCGGAAGATTTTTCCGTCCCACTTCGTAAGAAAGGAAATTCTTTTGTCTACTTCGAACCGGTAACGGTGAGAATTCATCATAGCTTTAAGAGCTACAGATACAGTCCGTATACTCGAAAAAGTAAACGAAAGAAGTCGCGAGTTCCTGCTTTGGATTTCCGATTTAGAGACTTTTTAGTGCATGAGTATACCCACTATTAGATGTACACATGACTTTGCAGTATTCCTACTAGGGGTGTGGACGGTAGCTGGCACATTCCAGAACCGACTATGGACAGACTCAATCAAAACTAGCCTGCAGCATTTTCAGTTTTGCCGTCATGGACTTTCTTACACTAGGAATTCTGTTTGTCTCTACTTCATTGATTTCATTGTACAGCTATTTTGCGATTTAATTAATTTCTGAAACAGTATGATGTTTGTAATCTTAGTAGTTGATTGTTCTAAAATATTTCTTACGATGCATTGATGATAGGTCCGTCGATTGCTTTTAAAGATTTTTAAAGATTATATTTAGAGTATCACAATTGCATGTTAAATACATCTACATGTATTATGTTTACAAGTTAACCCTATAGTTACTTTTGGATGTACAACGTTTCTACGTTTCAAACATAAAAACTGGAAATTATATATAGTATAATTTTGATCATAATGCAGCTTCCTATTATGAAGCTATAAAGGTATATCTTATTAAAATATTTTTGTTAACTTTATAAACAATTAAACATTAAAATTATTTTATAATGGATATAATGGAATATTCTCAAAAATATTGTAACATGAAATGTCACTGGTGTTTAACACATATGAATAGTGTTGGTTAACAGAATAAAATGTTCCTGAACAAAATATCTGCTATCTTAAGTATGATTTTAACTTCATGCATGCGCTATTCACTTAAAAGGAAATTTAAAAAGTGTGTCTCTCATACAGGTTTTGTAGGAGTACATCTAAATGTAATCATTTTTTTTTCAAAATTCGGAAAACAAATTACACAGCATTCCTTCCATTTTAGAAGTAATCTTTTTTTTCAAAAGTAGTAAAACAAATTTTGCAGCATACATTTATTTGAAATGTAAACAAAGTAGTATTTTTACTTCCATACAAAAAAACTAAATCACTTTATCTGTACTCATTGCCAATAATTAACAGACGCAAATTGTTCAATGAGTAACTTTTCGGAATCTCTAGCAGTACATCAATAGTAAAAAAGCTTTAGAGAAATAAAAAATCAAATCTTTTCTGAAGTAAAATAGACCTTTAAAACAGATATACGCGATTCTACAGAGACTAAAAAACAACATAAAAGTGTGGATTTTGCAATTGAACAAGAACAGTATGTGTGATTTGCTTTGAAATGAATAGAAAACCATGCTGTTGTCTCATATTACAAAATTTATCACGCAAGGCTTAGAAAAAAAAAATGATAGTCGAGGTTTATCCCAGCCATCATTTTTTTGTGCCGAGCCTGATAAATTTATAATATCAGACACTTGTCTGGCATTCTGTTTGTCATATTTTCAATTTTAATATGCGTTTCTTTCTTTAAATTTAAATGAAACAAATACCTGTTAAGAACCTTTCGATTAAATGCCGCGCGCATTAAGTCCCAGATGTTTTTAGTCCAATGTAAGAGAATTTTTATTATTTAAAAACTCTATTCGATTAGAGTTCATCAGTTTTATATTTTCAAACTAGTAATAGTTGAACATACTCCATTCTCTTAATTTTATTTCAATATGTATTGATGAGGTGTGCAATCAAACTGAGGGCGACTGATAAAGCTAAAAGTATCTGACATGCACTTTATTAACAGAAATGCTGATGATAACATGATAGAAAGGCATTCAAAATACAACAAGTAATTACTTCTTTTTTGTTTGCAATGTTGGTCGCTTTGCAAGAAAAATCGTAATGTCATCGGTTAAGGATTTAGACCTAACTGTTATAAAAACTTTCTAATCTTCATATATCGCATGAGTTGTATTATATTTCGTATATAATATTATGATTTTTTTCTGTATTTTGTAAAGTTATAACTTACTTAAGCTTTTTATTTTTATATCTGATAATATGTTGTACTCGAAATGCACTTAATGATCCAACTTTGAAGGAAGAATTTCAAATGTTTCAAATGGTTGTTTCAAGAACAGGAATAAGTTGTTAATCGAAATTTTAAACCTAACAATATGAGCGAACATTTCATTTCGTTTAAACTTACGACATATAAACCTGATATCACAATCGATGTTCACTTATTTTCGGCGCCATATGACCTAAATTGTTTTTAACCAAACAATAACAAAATATATAAAAAAGAAGACTACTCATATACAACAAAATGGAGTGGTAAAAACGGATACTATTGTTGATCGTAACGTATTTTAAGCAATTATAACGTAGAATTGATTTTAAACATAACATATTTTTACCATGCCGTGTTTTTAAGACATTTATATTTTAAGCCATGAAATTAGATCTATAACCATGATAAAAATGTTTACTTTAGGCACAATGATAATTTTACTTCCTTATACAGATAACCACTGACTGATATTAGGAAAATGCATGGAGATAACAAATATTTTACAGATCGTTAAAAAAAACCATTGAGATTGTTAGCTCACATTGAAAAGCAGAGCATGTTATTAACGCTTAAATATGAACACAACGGATTCGAACGGGTGAAACTTGTTTTCTGCTTTCATGATCAAATAAAGGTTAGTTTCGTTTTATACACATACATATATACATTCAATATTATGTCTAAAGTATTCAATATTTTGTTATCAATTTGAACTCCTTGAAATGTCGAGTGAACATGTAAAGTTTGTTCAAACTAAATTTCAACCCCATGGGCGTTTTGACAATGAACACAAATCTATTTTATTAGAACAGAATGTATACTTCGGCTGTTCTATTCCAAAATTTGGGTGCAATAACTAATAATTTATTACATGATATTAGTAATGTTTATTTCGAACTTAAATGCAGGCTAATTTTGTTATTTCGCTCTTGCACTAATGTACGAAAAAAAATTCAAATATGAAGTTGCATTTGTTTGTAATCAAGAGTGAAAAAATATGAAATAATTGCAATAAGTGTATTAAAACAGTACTTTATATACCTATATCTAGCATACACATATAAAAAGTCAATGTATTTTATGTACAAATGTATTTTCTGTTACAGTAGCTGGTAAGCGTGAAAAGATATACATTGAATATAACTGAACAGAGATAGCACACCTGTCAATATGCAAACATCTGCAAAAAATGGGACTTTTAAAGGTGAAGCAATATGGCATGTGAGAGCGCATAACCAGAAGACAGTAGAACGTTTAAAACATAATTTTTCATTACTTACATGTCCAGACAATGCACAGGGAATAGAAAATGATCCTCTACCTTATACTATAGAACCGATCCCGTATTCAGTACGGCCAAGTTCTCATCCTGAGTTGATGCCAGAATCTATAGCAAGAGAAATCTTTGATGTCGATGTTAAGAACACAAACAAGTCAGAAAATTATTTTCTTACTCACTCTACGGAGGATTTTATTCTTGACTTGGTTTTACCAATTCCAATGGCAGGATGTCTTACACTTTATGCAATGCAAAATTTTCAACGAGAAAAAGAAATGCTTACTGTATCCAGAAATCATAAAGAACATTGCACTGTTTTAACAGGAAGCTGCTCGGATGGACTAAGTTTGCCAGAAGTAACACACATAAAACGAAAACATAAAGTCACAGAAGGTCCAGATGAAGACAAAATCTACATATTTACTTCACTGATTGTTGACAGTGAAAACAGGAGGGCTTTCTGCTCGTTGGATACTTCGAAAAGTCCGCCTGGATATACAAGACTTATCATGAACACAGGATGGTTGGAAAAGAGACCAAGTAAATATCCACGAGAACGTGTTGAAGAAACTCTCATAAAACGAAACTATCCGGGATTCTTATCGTCAGATGAAAGAGATGTTGTTGTGAGAAGTAAATTAGTTAGTATTCTCAGAAAATATTTAAAGGATGAAATACGTAGTAGGGAAAAGGAACGCTTATTTTTTCGGAGAACTCCATTTGCCGATTCGACCCCAAGCGTCCATTTTTCTTGCCATGGACCAGCGGTAACTTGTGAATTAGAAAGATCTGATTTTATGAAAGTAACACTTTCCTGTGATAATGTCGTTGCACTCCCGTGTCCGCGCTGGCCACATGAAGCAGCAGAATGGATCCATAGAGATCGTGCTTGGCCTTCAAAAGCTCTTGTCCGTTTTGTTGTTAAAGGTGGTTGTCATATTGTCCCAAAGGGGGATAAACACCACAAAGATGCCCACGACTTCCTCATATCATTCTCTCACTGTGAGAAACTTATTGCCCTGAGTTTGAGTATCAAACAGAAGAGATGTTACATGTTGTTCAAGTTCTTATTCAAGTATTCCATAAATAGAGTAAATCGCGGGTTAACTACCTACCACTGCAAAACTATATTTTTCCAGCTCTGCGAGAAAATCCATGAAGATCAGTGGAGTGAAATTCACCCCTTTGATTTTTTGATGAGGTTACTCAATCAGATGGAAAACTGTCTGCGAATCGGATATTTGCCAATGTACTTCATACCAAAGCGGAACATGATTCACTTCATGACGAAACGCACGAGGGAGGTTGTGTTGTCTGACATTCAGAAGGTTATTGAGAACCCAGTAGGTATCTTTCTAGAGCTGACAGAAAAACACAGGTTCTGCTGGTTTTCACAAGACATATCAGCAGCGTGTTTGTTCACGCCTTTATTGGTAAATCAACAATTGTCGAACAGTTTAGCACAGGAAACGTTATTAACTTACATATCAACACTGCTGGACAAAGGAGAAGTGGGCTTTGTTCTCTCTTTGTTATGCGGAACTGAAATATGTGACCAGCCACCCTCTACAGAAACTGCAATTTATTATGTAGAGAAGGCAGCTAAAAGCGATGGTGGATCAGGCTGTATAAGCGTTCAGGCTTTACTTGCGACACTTTACCACCAACATGCATGTAGCATATCTTTTGGGTATTTAACTGGTCGCAAATTAATGATGAAAAGTTTGGGTATATTTGAGAACATTCTTCGAGAAGAAAATTGTAGTGCGTGGGTAGTTGGTGAATACTACAATCTACTGTTCAACTTACAATGGTATGACAAGATCATGAACCATTTTACCACTATAGTAAGAAGAGACTTTAATCCGACAGGCATTGATTTTTTCAAAAGTGGAATATACACAGTTGTAGATTATCATAACCGAAGTACAGTAGAAAAGGCAATCCAAGTATGCCCGGAATTCATCGTACCTTCTATACTGTATGTCAGTTACAAAGCTATAACAGCCAGTATATGCTTCATGGGGCAATACAAATTACCAAACGTGGACATTGAGACCATTTTTAAGTTTAATGAGAAGCTAATGAAGAAGTTACAACTTTGGTTATCAGAGAAGGAGAGGTTGTACCCCGAATACACAGACGAGTATGCCCATATTATTCTTAGTTTGGGGTTTAAGCATCTTGATGACATTGGAAGTTACAAAAACGAATTGTGTGCTGCTGAAGATTTTGACATCCCACTTCGTAAGGAAGGAACTAATTTTGTCTTCATCGAACCGGTAACGGTGAGAATTCATCATAGCTTTAAGAGCTACAGATACAGTCCGTACACTCGAAAAAGTAAACGAAAGAAGTCGAGAGTTCCTGATTTGGATTTCCGATTTAGAGACTTTTTAGTGCACGAATATACACACTATTAGGTATACAGTATTCCTACTTGGATATGTTGCCTGCTTTTTATATTTTGTTTATGAAATAAAAGTAGCAAAATGTAAACAAAGTAGTATTTTGGCTTCCATACAAAAAACTAAATCACTTTAACTGTACTAGTTGCTAAAATGCAACAGATACAAATGATGGTTCAAGTAATTGGCCAATGAGATACTTTTCGGAAGAAGTTCAAGCAGGACAACAAAAGTAAAAAGCTTTAGAGAAGAAAACAAAAATTATGAGGTATAATGGGCCTTTAAAACAGATGTACATGATTCTACAGAGACAAAAATAGAACATAAAAAGAATGGATTTTGAAATTGAATATGAATAGTAAGTGTGATTTGCAGCGGTTTAGCAACGAAATGTTCGTAGAATAGTGTACAAAATCTTTATCAATGTTTATTACTTGTTGTAGTATGGAGACAATAACTCGCCGGTCTTTATTTAAATACTGTGTATTATAATAAATGCAAATCTTAGCTTTGTAATCATTATTGTTAGTAAATGTATTATTTTTCATTCGTTTTACCATGTCTTTATATTTCTTGCTGGACAAATATTGAACATTGAATTTAAAAACTATATATTCATAATTTTGATGCCAGCAAAATAAGTTTTGTGTCTTTGAAGTCAGCTTTTCACAAATTAAAATGGTAATGATAGGTGTCTCTAACATCGCCCAGGTAGGTGCTGTGTGTGCGTGCTGGCCGACTATTTAACAGCGGTTACCTCCAAGCACCTGTTCAAAATAGTATTCAATTTTCAATATTAAAGCATTGAATCAATAAGTCAAAATTGAGATATTGTAAAACTATGAAGATCAGTTATGATGTGATTACCAATGTCCTTTATATCACATTGTAACAATAAACTTCAGTCAGGACCTTCTTATATGATAATAATTGCATTTTACAACTAATTAATAGGAAAATGAAAATGCACACAAAAACCACAATGATGGTAAAATCCATAATGGTAATTTATCAGGTAGTCTGCTGACTGTGTGATAGTTTTGTCCCACTTTGAATTTCGTGCTTTTAGAGCTTTATTCAGTATCAATATACAAAATATGAGGTACTTACTGTATAGAACCTGAACAGTTTGAACTGACCTTTTACTGGTAGCAAATTCTAATCACATCCGGTTCAAGAAGGATAAGTATAAAGGGACGTAACTGATACACATTATAATAACTATCATGTATTGCATTTTGAGCACTAATGTGCAAGAACATACCAAGACTCCCTTGTAATATCAAGGGGCAGGACGTGAAGTGGTTGCACACTTGGTTCAAGCGAGCGAATTGGTTGCAAACTTGACAAAATGGCGAAAACGGCGTGATTTTTTGAAACGGGTGAACGAATTTTTGCCAGGCAAGTGGGTTTCTTTGTTTTTTTGAAGTTCATTAGTACCTTATTCCATAATGAAATATATATGCCACACTCGGTTAAAGGTTTCAGCATCCTAGATTCTGTTTTGACGAAGTTATTGAAGATATAAACTGATCATGTAGATTTTTTGAAACTTGACATATGACTGTTCTGGCCGGTTTTTCTCCTAATTTATTCAAATTTGGAAGTTTTGAACTGCATTTAACAATAACAAAATATGTTTCTGTCAATGCTGTACAAACGGTTTAGTTCGCAAGTCCGAAGATAACGTTCAATACACAAAAATATCTTGTTCAAGCACATTTTGGTTGCAGACTTATACTTCAAGCATTTTTGGTTGAAAACTTATTCTTATTCTATTGAAATTCATAGTAAAACTTTGCAAAAGGAGTGTAGAAGGTCATATCTATTAACCTATTTTCAATGGCAATTATTGACATTTATGTTCTGTTACTTCTTTTTGTTATAAATGTTATTTATACTTTCTTCTTTTACAACAATTATGCACTTTATGTTTCAAATTACATGGTTCTCAGTTCAATACTATAATCATCAGTAAAAACCTGCAAACAAAATAATAGCATATAGAAAAATATTTATTGATACTTCAATTCTAAAATATGTCATCATATGTAAAATGCAAATGAAAACTACATACAAAACAAACGTATACATGTGAGAGTACTGTTGTATTTAAGTGAATTTTTTTTCATCATAAACATAAGGACATGTGCACACATACGATGTTATTCGGCAAAATTTCCAAAGTTTATCAAAACCACAAGAAATTTTAATTTGTTTGTTTCGTATGTAAAGATCAGCAGTTGCTTTAGACATGTACTTATAATGTTTTTACAAACCAAAAGTTAAAATGACGTACATGCTTGTTTACAATATTTCGGATTTGATGTCATATGTCCATTGGTATTCTAAAGATGATTTTGATTATTAGATCATAATATAAATGATATACAATTGGTTATTTACATTAACTGTTATGTGACAAAACTACTTAAAGTCATTGTTCGAGTTAGGGAATTTGGAAAAATTTTCGATTGGTCAATAATAAGGAACAATTTAAAGAAACATGTGAATAATGCCCTTGTGTCAATGTTAATATAGTTTTTATCTACTATATAATCAAATTTATTTCAAATCTCAAAAAAGAACAATAATGAAAGCTGTTTGTTGCTATTTTTTTCTTCTTTTCCTTTACAGTTAGTCATGCCAAGATATAAAAAAGTCCTAAGACTTTGTAAAAAGAAAAGGAGTATATCGAGGAGAAAAAATGATGAAGATAAACACAACTGAACTTCAATTTAGCATATTGTGCTATATATCTATTTGAAGACCCTGTGTTAGGATATATCTGCACGCATGCACAATTTGTATATATATTTCTTATTAGATGAACCGGTATAATTGCCATAATATTGCTAATTATTTAAAAAAAATGATAAGTTATTCCTCGCTAAAAATATGCATGCCACATTATTGACACAAAAGTTTGCAACCAAAAATGCTTGAAGTATAAGTCTGCAACCAAAATGTGCTTGAACAAGATATTTTTGTGTATTGAACGTTATCTTCGGACTTGCGAACTAAACCGTTTGTACAGCATTGACAGAAACATATTTTGTTATTGTTAAATGCAGTTTAAAACTTCCAAATTTGAATAAATTAGGAGAAAAAACGGCCAGAACAGTCATATGTCAAATTTCAAAAAATCTACATGATCAGTTTATATCTTCAATAACTTCTTCAAAACAGAATCTAGGATGCTGAAACCTTTAACCGAGTGTGGCATATATATTGCATTATGGAATAGACGTACTAATGAACTTCAAAATAACAAAGAAACCCACTTGCCTGGCAAAAATTCGCTCACCCGATTCAAAAAATCACGCCGTTTTCGCCATTTTGTCAAGTTTGCAACCAATTCGCTCGCTTCAACCAAGTGTGTAACCACTTCACGTCCTGCCCCTTGAATATGATATAACGCGTTTCTAATGCCACGCAATTTTGAAACAAGGAAAAGACAAACAAATCAAAAGAAATTTCAACCCTTGCACAGATTTCTTTTTAAAGTTAAATATGTAATTACACAGGATTCCATATCTCAAGAATTGTCGACGGATTCTTTCAACGTAAATTACAACTCATTATTGAACTTCGTGAAATCTCATTTATATCTCGCGTAAATTGTTGATCTGTTAAAAATATTGCATGTTAAAGGCCTATCAGAACGGGTTTCATTGATGGATTTCAGAGCCTAGTATAATTATATAATCAACCCTCATTCCTTCAAATGACTAATGGTGTATTTGAATGCAATGGAATGAAAATGAGAAATAAAACTATTTTTGGAGCATGATCAAGATTTAAGAATTGATTATGAGACGGACCATTTTCTAAAATCTAAGGGAAGTAACTGTAACACAAGGTTTCAAGGTTTCAAGGTTTATTGAATACGTCAGGGCCCATATGGGCATGTGACAACATAAAACAGTACATACATACAAAATAATACAAAATGGCAAATAATATGTAAAAACAAAATACTACAAAATGGCAAATTATAAATGGTCATACAACTCCATGATGTAATAAAATTACTGTAATAATTGACTGATAATGGAGGATGAGAGAGAAAAATCAAAAATCATTGCGAGAAAAAACAAAGAGAAAATACATAATCTAATAAGCTAACATTATTTAAATAATAACATAATATTTTTGCAAAATATGGCAAGTTTCAAAAGGATATCTTTATTACTATGGTTCATTAATTTTTCAAATTTTAAAGCACTTGGACGTTCATAGAAATATTTATCAAGATACAGCTTTCTTGTATTAACTAAATGTGAACATTCAAAAAGATAATGGAATTCGTCGCCTAAAGAGTTACTGGTACATAGGTTACAAGTTCTAAGTTCTCTTGGAATATCATCAAACCTTTCTTTTTCAATAGGACAACATAACTTGAGACCGGTGTAGGGGAAGTAACGAGTATGTTTTACTTTATTGAAAATTATATAAAGTTTAGTACTGACTTCTATCAGGTGAGTACACAGCTACTAAATCTATATCATCTCGTCCAAATTAAGGTATTGCATCTTGTTAACGAGTTCATTAGAATCAGTATTGTTCCCAACAATGTACTTTATTTCCTTTAAGGAAAAACACATCAAATAAATCAACATTGTGTTTTTATTATATATGAGTAAAATACAAATAAAGCCGATAACATCATTAACCTGATATACTGTATTGATAAATATATTTCGGGTACAATATGGAATTGATAGGAATATTTTGGACTCGAAATGAATACGAGACTAAATTAATGAGATTGAATACAATCATGATTCATTTGGAGGATCACTCGGTGCAAACGTTGAATGTTCATGATATAAATGGTCTTATAGCAAGTTGGCTTAATAAATGATAAAACATAATGTATATATTTTTTATATATATGCTATAGTTGTTTTACTGGTGTCCTTTGAGCCTTATGTTTTAATATCTTTCCTTTGTTGCAACCAACAGATTCGCGCGGATAAATCATGGACTTTGTGATCTGTTTTATCTATACGATAAATTATTTAAAATCAATTGAGGTAAATTTTGAATATTCGGTACTACAACAATTGATAACGAACAATAACTTTCATTTGATAAACAATGATAAACAATGATAATCGACTGCATATCAATATCAGAATACCTTAATATCATAACAAGATTTTATATTCCTAAGCTTGAAATGTCATGGATAAACATTATCAGTTGCGAGGAATATGTTTTAATGAACCACAATATGTATTGTTATTATACAAGTACTTGTCATAAAAGTAAAGTTCTATTGGTACTGACAAATAAAGCTTGTTTTTGAAGGAGCATTATAATCGAGCTATTAAACAAAGATTTGAAAAATATAGGATAAGTGCTCTAACCCGTATTCTTCCGTTATTGTACAGACTATCTGGAATGTACTTGTACTGGCAGTGGTGGTGGTATTAGTAGTTTTCACTCCGGATCATGGACGTGAGCGACAACGAGTTTACCAGAGCACAATTCAGCCACCGAATCGTTCCTTAGCAGGCTGTCGAGCAGTTCACTTGTGCTATAGTTGCATTCACTTTCGCAAGGAACTTAAAACTTCTGTACACGCCAGAGCAAAGGTACAGTGCGAATGCCGTAGAAAGGATTTCATGATGAATTACAACGAAAGTGACCTGCACTGTCCGGAAATCGGGTCACCCGATTCACAGTCCAACGCTCTACCCTTTGAGCTAACAGGATGGCCTTTCTACTGGCAGTAGGCATTGAGAAGAATGTTTCTACTTTCATATCGTAAGTTTACTTTAGAATAAAGGATTTAAATACATTTACTAAATCGCTCTGGACGTCTAACAAAAAATGTGTTTACCGTCCGTGGAAATGTAGGTTGAATATATAATGTTTATTCTCAATTTTTTTCTTTCTTCAGTAAAATCCTTTAAGATGTATTGTCTGCAATCCAAATCCCTTATAAAAGCAATGGTCAGTCCCGAATTCAAAGCCGATTGCGGTTAGCTGCTGTGAACCAAAATATCAAATTCGTTTAAGATGTGATACATTAAGCCAGTGTTCAAATTCTTCCTCAGAATCTAGACTGTCGACACATATAGCAAAGATTTATTTAGGTAACTATTTATACGAGACAAGTAGACGGGATATATGCATTTTGTATGTTTAAGTAGGTTACTTAAGCCATATATCGGTTGGCTTTGTCCAATGAAAGAGTCCGTATTCTGCTGCACTAATTGTAAAATGTTTTACACATATGGCTGTCAGTTTCTCTGAACTAAGTAAAATTCTTCACTGTTTTTGACCGTGAAAATATATAAGGCCTTTCTAATATTGGCAAGATATATCAGCTACCAAAATATGATAGCAAAGATCAGCATGGGACGGCGTGCGTCGTTCACTGAACCCTAAGTTTAAAGACATTCAAATGAGTGAAATATTACATTTGGATTATAGAAATTTTGTTTATAGCTACAGAAAAGTACAAGGAACAATTTGTTTTTGCAAAGGAATTCCTCATTTCCACTCATTGAATGACAATTTTGAGCATAATGAACTTGGTACAGTAAGAATTCAGCATCGCATTAATAGAGATACATGAATCATACTTGCACGCTTATCTTTCCGCCAAAGTGGTACTTGTTAAAATTGAATTTCAATATGCTTTAATGTTTACAAAATTATACGGTATGTAGATTCTACTGTGAATACAAGTTCCCTTTAAATATCATTAAGTCAAAAAGCATAATTTTATGTGAGCCGTGTCTGAACATGACAGATTGATTTGAATGTTATTGCCTTTAAATTGTCTTTGGGAACCAATGAATTTGAATATAAGAATTTAAGATGCAATAGTTAATATCATTTAAAAAAAATCTTTAATGATCAAAATTATTTTTTGTCCAATCACATTGTAGTATTTTTCAAATTTCTGCTAAGTCTAACTTTGGTTAATGTGTACTAACTAAATAAAATTCACTTAATCTGTCGTCTAACCAGTCTAACAAATTTCAATAATGCATTATATTAGGGAGGAGTTAGAGGTGTGATTTGCACTCTGAATGGTAAAATATCTAGGTTAGCAAAACAATGCCAACGTAAAAAAAATTAGGCGATGTCAGGTGTTGATACAATCAATTAATTTAATGCATAGATAATACATGTGGGGCACGCAGAGACAAATGATTACATAGTAACTTTTTATACCCTTTTAACTCTAAGAAAAATGTCTGTTATAAATTGCTGACTGTTTTAAACTTTATATTTTCTAGAAAAAGTAACCAAAACATTATTTTCTTCCACTTGATAGGAATGAACTGCATTAACAATCCTTGATATTAAGAATACAATGATTAATTTTTTGGCTGGAATACTCATTGAAAATGGACCCCCTCCACCTTTAAACCTAAATTGACACACAGAAAAAAATGAACTGTTTTTCAAATGAGCGATTCAATAGGGATTTTAAATGTTAGTGAAAAACTTGAAGCTAATAACGATTTGTATCAATTAATAATCTCTAATTTATTTTTCTCACATTTTCCATTTATTTGAAAAGGATGTACATATTTCATTAACTCCATTGTTTTCACCTAATTGCATCATTTTCCTCGCTGTTTTTTTTTCTCTCACATATTTTATAGAAACACGACAGTCTTACTGTAGATAAAGGTATACATTCTGTGACATTTAGTAAAAAATGTGCCTGATTATATGTTGAAAGGGCCATTTATTTAGCTTATCTAAATGTGACATGTTGGAAACCATCTTGTAGAGCTATAGGGCGGAGCTATCGGTGATTTAGAGAATTGCCTTGTTTTTGGTTTAAAAAAAATAATGTTGATCATTAAATAGGTTAATGTTTAATAATACGCATTAACAAAAATAATTGGTCGCCTGCCTGCGGCATGCTTGACCAATTATTTTTGTTAATACGTATTATTAAACACTAACCTATACATAACCCGCCTCTTTTTGGTATTTATTTCCCTTCATTGTAAATTAACATAGATCACGTGACAGTCATGTGACTAAACCAATATGGTGGACGGTAGTGAAACTGAACAAAACGGATGTCATATATTTGAAAAATTCAAAACACATTTCCCTTCCTTTTCCACGAAAAAAGATAAATATATATTAGTAGACAATTAATTATATGGAATTTTTGTTGTTCATGATTATGTAAGATAATTAGAATTGTCCCAGATGGCGGCGAGAGAAGTTAAACTATGTTTGCTTGGAGTGAGTTTCTTTTTCATTTGTGTTACTGTTCTGCATAAGTCAAGTTTTTAAAAGTGTCATTCGGTATTTTATGCACTGCTTTCATTAATCTGGTTCCCTGTCATATTATGGTTCCCATAGAAGTGTGCAGTGGTCCTGTTTATGCATCCATTTTCAATCAGAATTCTTCGACTTTTATTGTTACTTTGTAAGTCAAAAAGTTGCGATTGTTCCATTATCAGAATACCCCGCCATTTATGATATCATTGCCTTATATTTTTATACAAATCTCGGGTACATGTACTGTGTGATAATTGTGAAAACATTGATTTATTGTAGGACTCTGGTGTAGGAAAATCCAGTATTGTACTTCGGTTTGTCAGAGATCAGTATAAAGAAAACTTAGAGAGCACCATAGGGTATACATCTAGTATAGTGTTATTTCTTTCTTTAATAACTCTTTAGAAACAATGTTTTTCTTTTTATGCACCCTAGTAACTCCAATTTTGATGTACCAGTAATTCTGTTTTATCAATTTAATAATTGTTTTTTTTTTATTATTTGGATTTTTTACTATAAGAAGTTCAGACTGTTAGATTACTTTATGTACATGTACTTACTTTAAGTTTATTAACATAGCAATGTGATGACACATGAAATGATTGATTCACTAATTGATACTCATATTTAATTACTATAAATTAAAACTGCGTTAGCATGACATTAGTAATAGTATGTAAACTTTTCCAATTTCTTCTACCAACAGCTTAAATAAGATTATTATTTTACAAATGTATATTAAAAGAAATTCATAAATAACCATAGCCCTTCCATGTGATACCTTCTTTTTGTAATTCAATGAAGTACACCCTGGAGTCATTTTATACCCTATTCAGTTAATTTATATTGAAATTCCTTTGATTGTGATAGTAACGTAACATATATTTTTCCATACAGATTTTTCTATATCTATTGTAGTGCATCGTTTATGACAAAACGTATAATTGTTGATGGAAATTCATTTGTATTCCAAATCTGGGACACAGCTGGGCAAGAGAAGGTATGTTCAGAAAAAGTTTTAATTTTTACAAACCCACACTACAGTGTTACAAGTATTTTATATTGCATAAATGTTTTAATGAATAATTGGCAAATTTATGTTAGATTTTGTAGAAATTCAAAACAGGTTTTAGCTCATATGTTTCAATAAAAAGGCTTAATAATACATGACGATGTATTGATCACTGAGTCATCATTGTTGCGATTATCTTGCAAAAACTTTAATGTTACTCAAACACTTAAAACTGAATCTTCGCATTCATACTTATCTGACAAGATGCAGTTGGTAGATAGTGTGACCCGGTTATATTCTGAAAGCTATATTGTTTGAGTTATGCTTTGTTTTAATTTAAAAAATTCCTCAAATTTGCTTATTAAGTAGAATGATTTCAAATCTATCACAGATCTCAACAAGTAACATTGCATACTTGGTTATCATGACAAGACAAGGGACATTAATGTCCCCACAGCTAGATTTTACTTACTTGTAATAGAATTAGTGTCAAAATTACTTACCATACTTTTGAACTACATTTATATGAAAGGCATGAACATGAAACATGGATCGTGGTAAGCTGCAGATGTTATAATTGGGGATAATCCTGAAACTATTGTGATGTTCCTTTTTTTTACTAAGAATTTTTGTAAATATTGGTGTATTGAATAAAATTTTGAAAACTGTCAAAGATGTTGTACTCAATCTTGGCATACTGTCTAATGAGGATGAAGCAGATGGCATGTCTGTAGGATAATTAGGAGAAATAAATGATAAGTATTTCTAGACCTCTGCCTCTTTTACTTGGTAACTAATTGAACTTGAGTATTAATTCTCTTGAATATTCACATTTGCAAAGTTATTGATTATGCAGAAAAAATTAACAGTGATAATACCACTACTCTTCAATTTAATTTGTTTTAATTGTTGCAATCAACAGGGAAAAATTTGCACCAAATGTGTTGTGCTTGTTTGTTTTTAGAAAATTATATGATACCAGTAAACTAAAAACTTAAAAAAGTGTATAAAAAATGTATTTAACTTTTCATGCCACGGCCTACTTGTCAACCTGTAGTCTGATAAAAAAGTTTTACTATGTTTAACCAAACACAAAATTTCCTATTTTTTAATGCTGTATTTTTTAAACAGATGCATATTTTTCATATAAAATAAGCTATTCCATAAATTTCTTTATTTTCTCTTTACAATTCCTTTGTCAGATGAGAAAAAAATGCTTATGTTTTGTTACTTATCATTCCTGTAAAGTGATATATGATTGAATATAATTATATTTACAGTATAGAGCTCTGGCCCCCATGTATTATAGAGGTGCATCAGCTGCTATTGTTGTTTATGATGTAACAAGGGAGGTAAGTCTGTAATACTTATATTTAAAAAAGTAGAATGATATACTTACAACCTATATGAAATAACAATTAAGATATTTCAAACATCCTAACATAACCTTTACAAGTGGCTAAACAATATATGTGTATTTGCTTAATGGAAGGCAAATGGTTATAAAAAGATGCCAGTGTTTTGTCTGAAAATAATAATTAATATTACTTTTGTCAACCCATTTATGTACAGCTACATGTATAGCTTACAGATAGGGTTTTTTCCAAGCAACTTGCTTCTTTTTAAAGCAGTGTATGGATTGTCAATTTAAGTGCTCCTTCTCAAGTCAAATTAATAGTTTGGGCAGGACTTTAAAACTTTAAAATATCAACTAATAGATAAGAAGTTATTGTAGCTTAAGTGAGAGTGTACCTTGATGCAAACTGAAATCTCTCAGAATTTAATCATATAGTTTGTTGTCATTAATTTAATTTAAAACAACATCATGTAAAAATTCCTCTGGGAAAAAAATCTAGTCATCTTTAAATGACAGGAAATTATTCTGTCAATATAAGAGTAAGTTAGGTTGTTTCATAGGGAAGAAAAATATGTAACATTGTAATATGAAATTGGTAATGAATGTAACAAGTATTTAATAATAAGGAAATAAATCCATGTTTGGTACAAAATCAATTATACATTTACTCAATATAGTAACAAAAAAATATTTTTATTTATGTGTTTTCCATGAAGGTCAGTATTATTTAATTATCTAGTACATAAAAAGGAAGGGAGTTCAATGTAATATTTGTTTGTATTTTTGTTCTTGAAGAAAAGGCATATTGTCATGACACACCTGTTTGCATTGGCCCAGTGTCTATTCTAGGAGAGGATATGGGCGGATTCACTCATATTTTTGAGAATTCCCCCTATTTTTTCAGAGGCAGGGGGGAAATTTTGCATAGAGAAAGAAGGAAAAAGATCAACAAATGTAAAAAATTCTTACTTTTCGATAAAAATCCCCCCGGTTTTTTTGAATCCTAGAATAGACACTGTTGGCATTGATTAACCTATTCTATTATTGTTTTTGTTTATGGTCATAGAATGCAATAATTACAAAGCTATTACTTTGAAACTGAATATGCAGAATGAGATGCATTTTGATGAGTTCTACCTGCACATCCATTTTCTGGTCAAAATATCATAGGTCAAGGACTCTGGTACCTATAATAGAGAAACATGATATTGGTCATTAAATTAAACTTTAATGACCTTGAAACTTAAAAAATTTTGTATGTGCATGCATCTTAGTGAGTCTTACCCATCTTACCCAATTTGGATCTAAAGGTCAAAGTTCAAGGTTACTGTGACCAGCTTTAACAGTAAAATATGATCATTACATTAAACATAATTTCTCTAGCTCAAAAGACTTCAGTGAACAGGATTTATAGTACTTCTAGACTTGTTTCACAGTGTCAAAATAAAAGTGACATACAAAGTTATGGAAGCCAGAACTAAATTTTTCAAACTATCTCTTCATTACGAACACTGAGAAAAGTTAGTATGCTACTTTAGGACAGCTGTTGTTTGTTTATTGCAGTCATCATTTCCTGGTGTTAAGGACTGGATTAATGAGTTAAACAAGAATGCATCAGGGAATATTGTCATAGCAATTGCTGGCAATAAATGTGACTTGGAGGATCTCAGAGAAGTTGATACAAAGAGTATGTTGTTTTCTTGTTTAAATTGTATTTTTCATTTTTTTTTGTTTTTCTGAAAATTGTATTGGGACTTTATTCAATTAAACTGAATCCGCAAATTGTATGTTAAGTAATACTTTCAAGATGCACTTCGGGAAATGGAGTTTAATATCAATACAAGCTGATGTGTTGTCTTGTTTATATTGTATGATTTAAAGATATTGACACCCCTTAGGATATTAGTAAACTGAAAGACATCATGAAATTTGATTATCTTCCTATGTGCTTGATAAAATGAACATAGCCTTTTGATTATTTAAATTTGATATATCTCATGATATGTTGTATAGATGTTTTGTAGTAAATCATGCAGGGCAGACCGCAGTCGTCATGAATATTATCACTCATCTAAACTCCATAACATATAGCCTCTTATACTGATATAAGATACCTTGCAGTTGCTTCCCTGTATGATTTAAATTTATTTCAGTTGAATCCCAGGTGTAATTTATAACTGTAATTGTTATAGTTAAAAGTAGAACTCTGTTTTATGATATTCAGCTTCACAAAGGATATGTTTATACATTTTGAATCAACATGCATTCTGCTTTTGAAATGATACATGATAGTGATTATTTAATAATGAATCTAAATAACATTTGATTTTTGTGTATGTATAGAACTGTTGAGAAATCAAATTTTATCACATACATTGCTTGTAATTAATATAATATACATGTATTATATGTTTCTTCATATTACACATATTTATAAATTGCATGTCGTCTTTAAACCTTTGTGTGACTTTTTTAAAATAGTATATTAAACAAATTATTTTATTGTATTTTATGTTTTCTGGCTTTATAATATCATGTAATGAAGAGTTTTTTTATTCATAGTCATTTCCTAAAGACTGGTATTGAACTTATCTTAAAATTTTGAGCATTATAAAACTTGCCAGAACTTTAGTAAACATAAGTTGATAGTAAAATATAAATCATGTAAGGTCCAATATCATATGATGTAAGATTGTTTAAGCCTTGTTAGAATTATTTTGTATTTATCATATAAACTACAGTGCAGGAGTGTTAAAAACAATTTAATGAAAAGGTATTACATCAATGATCTTCATGTATATTTAACGAACTGCTTGTTTGAGGGGAATGGTTTTTATTTTGTTTATAGTCTGTAGAAAAACACATAGACAGTATAAGTCAAAATTAACCTTTATTGACAGTCCAAGAAATTATATTTACAATGTATAATAAGAAATATTCTTAATTAAGAATTCTCAATACATGTATATCAATATATAAAATTCTTAGACAATTTATTTCAATATAATAACAATTATTTATTAAAATTAAGTTGGGGAAATAATTATTCACTTAGCATTATGAGACCATTTTGATAATTAAAATAGGTAACAGGTACCATGTCAACAAAATGTATATAATAAAATACTTAATTTACATTACAAAAATCAATGTTCAATGTATTCATGTGTTCCAAAAATATAAGTCAAACTATAAAAAACATGTTGTAAGTAAAACATAAAGTTACATTTTTACAAGTCAGTAACTAAAGTAAGTTTACAAAATTTCATTTCCTATAGATTTTAGAAAAAGAGTTAAAATATAAAATAAAGTTTAACATGAGTTAAAATATAAAATAAAATTTAACATACCTGTAGAAAAACACATAGACAGTATAAGTCAAAATATATCCTTTATTGACAGTCCAAGAAATTATGACTGTCTAACCTTAAACTGTCTCTTTTATAGGTATGTTTTGGAATTGTTTGAAAAGTAGAATTAATTTATTAATGGGTTTTCACTTTGAAGTTATAAATGTCAAAAACTAAGAAGGAAACAAAGCTGTGATATTTTACCCAACTATTATTCTGTATTTGTTTGTATTTACTCTATAAAAAACAGTCCATCTGTTAAACAAAGAAAAGTGCTAAAAAGACCTAAAGTGCTTCCTAGGCATAAGAAAAATGTGTTGATTTAACAATATCTTAAGTATGTTTGACATGTTAAGAATGATGGTTTCTATCCCAAAGCTTGAAGAAGTTATTACTGCAAAAAATACATGTTATTTAAAGGTTTAAATTATAAAATACAAACAAGTAAAATATACATACAAAATGGACAAAAATATGCATTATGTAATATAAAAATATAACTCATATTTGGGGTTCCTTATAATTCCCCTCGGCTTCGAGAACTTTGACCCCAAAGTTTGAACGAAGTAAGAATTATGAAAGTTTTTAGACGAAGGTATTTAAACATAATGTTTTTAAATTAAATACAAACAAAGAATAAAAAGTGAAAGTCATATTACAAATATATGAGTTTACAAAAATTAAAAGAATATACATCAATATACAACAGTGAGAGTCAATGCTAAATAGTAACTGTCCTGGTGGTACTTATTGATGTCTAATTGGTATGAGTAGGTTATTGTGTTTTTGATAAAAGTAAACATAGAATGGTTTTGTAAAAATATTTTGTAGTTTGTTTGCTATGGTCATACTAAGAGGAATTGCTGAAGAAACATAAAGAATTGTTTCAGACTGTTTGTCCACTATAGAGAAGCCAGGCCAACATACAGTTAACTTGCATGACAGACAATGCTTTTCAATGTTAAAATCAGATACTGAAGCAGGGACATTGATATGGTAACTAGATGGGCACCTGGGCAACCGAATAATGTCAAGTAGAACACAGTCATCATTGTTTAAGATCTCTAGACACACTGTAGAGTTTTTACTTTTACAATTCTTTTTAAACAAGTAGATAGCAATCAAAATAAGTATGAGAAGAAGCAAAACAAAATTTGAATGTTCCCATTTTAAGTCCAAAGACAGAGACTGATTTAGCTGTGGAGCTGCAGTTTTTGGTTTGTAAATAAAACTAGGAACTGTAGATGGAAGCCCTTTGACTTGTTGCACCTGTTGTATAATTAATAAGGCCGTGCTTTGTTTCCTTACTCTATGGAATGTATATAAGAGTAAGATTGTCAAAAATACAGTTACATTCATAGTATATAACAACAATATTTCATTTGCAAAGGAAATAATATATGGCATAGCAATATCTAATGGGTATTCAATCTCAAAACTTTGGTACCAAAAGTCACTTGCAATGAACACAGGGTTTTCTTTCTTTAAGAGAATTCCGTGATTAAGCTGTTTCACATTTTCTGTTCTTTCACTTAAATAAATCAGACCGAACATGACCATTATGCACATTAGTACACACATCAGAATAGAGCCATCACTGAACCCTGGGCATCTTCTGCACTGTGCCTCTGAGTTGTTCTGTCGTGCCATTTTCAGTTGTTGGTTTTCCTGTCTTTGATCCTGGTTCTGTTGTCTCTGGTGCCTTTGTCTACTCCATGTTTGATTATAAGTCTGTTTGAGCTCAAGCTTTGACAGTTTCTTATTTATAGCACACAACTGTTCATTGATATTGTCACTGATTTGTGTGGCAGCCACTGGTGCAATTGTCACTGGAATATTTGTAGCTGCTAAAGTTTGTTCAGCAAGGCTGCAAGCCTTCCGCAAATCTTCAAGTGTCTTGTGATTTTGTGGCATTACAATCTGTTTTACACTATTTGATAATCCTTTTAAAGTTAAACTAATAAGTAAACCTTCAGGATACTGTTTGTTGGCTATTGTTTGGTAAATCCTAGTGAAGTAGGATGCTGTGCTTTCACCTGGCAGTTGCTGTAAGTTAAATAGAGCCATATCAGCATTAAGGCCATTACTACCATTAAAACGTAGTCGCAAGGCTGTTGTCAATTGATTAAGGTCAGATGTCACCTCATCAGACTGCATGTGTAACCAAGCCAGTGCATGGTCTCTCAAGTAGAAAGGAATGAGTCTTGCTCTTTTATCTCTAGCTACGGCATTTACCTCACCATAGTTCTCAAACCATTGAAGCCAATTTGTTGCACATTCTCCAGGGTTGCCATGGAAATACGGCATGTGAATCTGTGATGTCATACCAGCTGGGAATGTTGAGTATGTAATATTTAACACTGGATCCGTATTGGTCTCTTCAGGCAAGAAAGTGTCTTCGTGGTCACTCAGCGCCAAGTTTGATTCATATGGATCTTCTGAGCTCCCTTCCTGTTCCGTTGACCGAAGATAATAATAACGATTCACAGGTGTTGACATTACCCGGTTCTTTCTCCACCAATCTTTAACGATCTTTAACGAACTGCTTGTTTGAGGGGAAGGATTTTTATTTTGTTTATAGTCTGTAGAAAAACACATAGACAGTATAAGTCAAAATATATCCTTTATTGACAGTCCAAGAAATTATATTTACAAATACAATGTATAATAAGAAATATTCTTAATCAAGAATTCTCAATACATGTATATCAATATATAAAATTCTTAGACAATTTATTTCAATATAATAACAATTATTTATTAAAATTAAGTTGGGGAAATAATTATTCACTCAGCATTATGAGAACATTTTGATAATTAAAATAGGTAACAGGTACCATGTCAACAAAATGTATATAATAAAATACTTAATTTACATTACAAAAATCAATGTTCAATGTATTCATGTGTTCCAAAAATATAAGTCAAACTATAAAAAATATGTTGTAAGTAAAACATAAAGTTACATTTTTACAAGTCAGTAACTAAAGTAAGTTTACAAAATTTCATTTCCTATAGATTTTAGAAAAAGAGTTAAAATATAAAATAAAGTTTAACATGAGTTAAAATATAAAATAAAATTTAACATACCTGTAGAAAAACACATAGACAGTATAAGTCAAAATATATCCTTTATTGACAGTCCAAGAAATTATGACTGTCTAACCTTAAACTGTCTCTTTTATAGGTATGTTTTGGAATTGTTTGAAAAGTAGAATTTATTAATGGGTTTTCACTTTGAAGTTATAAATGTCAAAAACTAAGAAGGAAACAAAGCTGTGATATTTTACTCAACTATTATTCTGTATTTGTTTGTATTTACTCTATAAAAAACAGTCCATCTGTTAAACAAAGAAAAGTGCTAAAAAGACCTAAAGTGCTTCTTAGGCTTAAGAAAAATGTGTTGTTTTAACAATATCTTAAGTATGTTTGACATGTTAAGAATGATGGTTTCTATCCCAAAGTTTGAAGAAGTTATTACTGCAAAAAATACATGTTATTTAAAGGTTTAAATTATAAAATACAAACAAGTAAAATATACATACAAAATGGACAAAAATATGCATTATGTAATATAAAAATATAACTCATATTTGGGGTTACTTATATATATATTTAGATGTTATTTTAGAAACTTCTCTATTTTCTCTGTTTTAGAAGCGAAGGATTATGCATTGGATATAAATGCAATATTTACAGAGACAAGTGCTCTAACAGCAGTAAACATACAACAGCTGTTTGAAACTATAGGTATGTTTATTCTAACTTATATACTCTGTGACCACTCATTGGCTCAGTTATCAAAGGAAATCCACTGAGGTCAGAAGCATAAAAACATGAAATTTAAATTTACAACAAAGATCATTACTTAAAACAGAAAGATATGCAAAAGATAATTAAGTAATATCTTTAAAAATAAATTGAAAATTGTATTTGTAATATTCTTAGCCCAATTTGAGTTAAAGCATTGCAACGCTTTACAATTTTGGGCCATTTTTCACAATAAAATAATTATTCTAGAAAAACATACTGAGCGAATGATCTGAAATTTTGGTTAAAATTTACATTAGATAGAACACTAATCTCAAAAATTTATTTAAAGTCCCTTCATGTCAAAAAACCTATGTCATGTCTTGACTAATTACAGAGTTATTGCCCTTTGTTACTTTTCCTTGTTCTGGAGCATAACTTGAAAACTACTGGTTGGAATTCAAAATAACTTCATACAATGGTCAAGCACAATAAGTGGAAGTGAAGTGCACAAGAAATATAACTCTATCTAAAGTAATTACAGAGTTATTGCCCTTTGTTACTTTTCCATTGCTTTCTTTTGTCCAGACCATAACTTGAAGACTAATGGTTGAAATTCAATATAACTTCATACAATAGTCAAGCACATTGAGAGGAAGTGCAGTGCACAAGAACCATAACTCCATCTTTACTAATTACAGAGTTACTGCCCTTTGTTACTTTTCCTTGTCCGGGGCATAACTTGAAAACTACTGGTTGGAATTCAAAACAACTTCATACAATGGTCAAGAACAATAAGGGGAAGTGCAGTGCACAAGAACCATAACTCCATCTTGACTTATTACAGAGTTATTGCCCTTTGTTACTTTTCCATTGCTTTCTTTTGTTCAGACCATAACTTAAAGACTACTGGTTGGAATTCAAAACAACTTCATACAATAGTCAAGCACAATAAGGGGAAGTGCAGTGCACAAGAACCATAACTCCATCTTGACTAATTACAGAGTTATTGCCCTTTGTTACTTTTCCATTGCTTGTTTTTTCTGTCCAGTGCATAACTTGAAAACTAGTAGTTGGAATTCAATACAACTTCATACATTGGTCAAGCGCAATGATAGGAAGTGCAGTGTACAATAACCATAACTCCACCTTCAGAATTTATAGAGTTATTGCCCTTTGTCTCTTTTCCTTGTCTCTCTGGCTTTATAACAAAGTAATTCAATAAAACTTCATCAATGGCCAACAATAAAAGGAAATGCAACATACAAGAACTACAACTATCTTTAATTGCCCACAACCATAACTCTATTTCAATTCTTTTACAAGGTATTCTGTTACTAGTAACATCTTCATTTCCGGAGAAGTTTTGCAGGGGTATTAATCACATTTAGTGATAGTTCTAGTTTGAAAAGATATCTTTACCTAGATAATATGAATGATTTTATCCAGATTTAAAGTGGAGCAGATCCATTTCAGATATTCGTTTTGTAAGGGTTTAACATGTTTATTAAAGCAACCTTCAGCTTTTCTAAAGATTTGATATGTAATTTTTAGATAAATTATTTCATTTAATTGTCAAAAGGTAGAAAATGAAATTTGCCAAAGATGAAATAAGAATACCTCTTGATACAGCTAATCTACCGGTCCGTTCTCTATATTTAAGTTAGTAAAGTGGACGATTCGTTTTCTGATCTTCTATTTTTAGAAACGAATGTCACTTACTTGTTACAAATAGCTCCCTGGACACTATTTTGAAGAAGGCTTAATTAACAGTGATATTATGCACTTTTCCAGAAACATAGATAATGTTATCTATGTCTCTGACTTTTCAAAGATAAAATTACTGAGATACATAGTTTGAAACAACACAGAATTGTTTTCCAACAGAAAATAAAAGCTGAATGATGCTTTAAAGCTTGATTGTTTGCTTCCTATGGCTAACATGAACTGATGTCAGATTGAAGAATAGTTTGAATTGGAAGTTTCAGACTTATACAGTCAATAAAATAATTTTACTTTTTATCCCTATTTATTTGATAAGTACCTTATTGATACCAAAAGGTGTGTCTTCTATAACATAGTGTGTTCTCCTTGATATTTTGATGATATTATTATTATGTCCTGTATTACATTATTGTATATTGAAATGTGTAAATATTGTAATATGGGGCATCATTTGACTATACTTTAGTATGTCATTGTTATGAAACTCAGGCAATGAATAGTTAAGTGTCTTGTATTAGGGTTATTTTACTATTGTACATTAAAAAAATAACAATGGGTTTATTTGTTTAATGACTTCTCAGGTTATTGCAATTTGAAGTGTTTTTAAATCAGTTGAACTTGAAATATTTCAATTTATTATGCCACTGCAGCATATGCGATGCGGTGGCATATAGCGATTCACCTGTGTGTATGTGTGTTTGTGTGTTATATAGATTATATAGTGAACTTAAAAAATCTTCTTGTGAAAAACCACTAGTTCAATTTCAACCAAACGTGGCAGGATTGATCCTTGGGTGAAGGGCTTCCAAAGTTGTTCAAAGAATTTCATTCCATGCAGAATTCTGGTTGCCATGGCAACCAAAAGGAATTATAAGAATAAATTTAAAAAATCTTCTTGTAAAGACACACAAGGCCTAGAGCAAAGATATTTTGCATAAGGCATTGTCTGGTAGACCTCCACCGCCCCAGGGGTCATAGGTTTTCCTTATATGTATATAGTAAAAACTTTAAAAAAACCATTTCCTCTAAATTGACAAAGGCTAGAGGTTAGATATTTTGCATGAAACATTGTGTAGTGAACCTCTAGCAAGATTGTTCAAATTATAGCCCTGGGGTCAAAATTGGCCCCGCCCTGGGGGTCATTAATTTTCAGTCACTAATGTCATATAGTTCAATTTTAACCAAACTTGGCAGGATTGATCCTTGGATGAAGGGCTTCCAAAGTTGTTCAAAGAATTTCATTCCATGCAGAATTCTGGTTGCCATGGCAACCAAAAGGAATTATAAGAATAAATTTAAAAAATCTTCTTGTAAAGACACACAAGGCCTAGAGCATAGATATTTTGCATAAGGCATTGTCTGGTAGACCTCTACCAAGATTGTTCAAATTATAGCCCTGGGGTCAAAATTGGCCCCGCCCCGGGGGTCATTGATTTTCACTATATGTACATATAGTAAAAACTTAAAATACCTTCTTGTCTGAAGGTACAAGGCTTAGAGCTTTGATATTTGGTATATGATATCATCTATAGGTACTCTACCAAAGTTGTTCAAATTTTGCCTCTAGTGTCAAAATTAGCCCCGCCCCGGGGGTCATAGGTTTTCCTTATATGTATATAGTAAAAACTTAAAAAATCATCTTCTCAAAATTGACAAAGGCTAGAGGTAAGATATTTTGCATGAAACATTGTGTAGTGAACCTCTACCAAGATTGTTCAAATTATAGCCTTGGGGTCAAAATTGACCCTGCCCCGGGGGTCATTGATTTTAACTATGTACATATAGTGAATAATTAAAATACCTTCTTGTCTGAAGGTACATAACTTAGAGCTTTGATATTTGGTATATGATATCATCTATAGGTACTCTACCAAAGTTGTTCAAATTTGCCTCTAGTGTCAAAATTAGCCCCGATCCAGGGGTCATAGGTTTTCCTTATATGTATATAGTAAAAACTTTAAAAAATCACTTCCTCTAAATTGACAAAGGCTAGAGGTTAGATATTTTGCATGAAACATTGTGTAGTGAACCTCTAGCAAGATTGTCCAAATTATAGCCCTGGGGTCAAAATTGGCCCCGCCCTGGGGGTCATTAATTTTCAGTCACTTATGTCATATAGTAAAAATTAAAAATCTTTTTGTCTGAAGGTACAAGGCTTTGAGCTTTGATATTTGTATATAATATCACCTATGGGTCCTCTACCAAATTTGTTTAAATTATGCCCCTAGTGTTAAAATTTCCCTGCCCCAGAGGTGATAGTTTCCTTATATGTATATGTATATATAGCAAATGCCAGCTATGAAATTTGAACCATCACAGTGCACAGATTAAGATGTATAGTGAACTTTGATATCAGCTGGCCTAGATTTTGACAAAGTGTCTTACTGTGTTGTCCTTTGATGTACAGTCATGGAATTTAGGTCATGTGAAATATGACATTCATCACCAAATTCACTAGACACAACTGCATTGATAGATTCCTGCTCTGATTTTTTATTTGAATAACAATAGATTTAACCACTAGTTTGATAATAACAATTAAATAGGTCAGTGATCTATGCATTATGGCAATCTTCAATTGTAAAGAAACAAAAAAATTGTGTTCCTACATTACTATATAGTGTTGTATAAATGCGGTGGCATAGCATTTTTCACAAATGCAATCTTGTTTCTCGACTGTTATATTAATACTGTAATTTATATATCCTAAATATTTCCTTTAAATATAAATTCTTATAGATGTCCTTTTGATTGTTAGGCGATAAGTTGAACAATGTTTATACTTTAAAGATATGTTTTACCATATGTGACTCACTAAGATAAGAACTTGCACAAATTTGTTATTTGTCATTTCAGCGAGGAAATTACCTGCAGAAGATATATACCGGCCGCGTCATCTTGGCGTCAGTTTAGGTCAGACTCATAAGCCGGAAGAACCAGAACAGAAAAAACGTTCATGTTGTGGCGGCGGGAAGAAAAGCTGATATATCATTATGTTCTTTAGAAATAGTTATTATTTATATCATAAACTACTGTATTTGTCTATATTGATGTGAATGACAGAATGGTGCACGCAAACTTGACAAGATTGGATTTGGAATGATGTAATTTATATTTATTGGATCACAATTATTGTAATTTCCAATGTTATATGTTAGGAGCTATTTTGGGGTCACATTTCATTGTGTTAGTTTATTATAAATTAAACCTTGTTTAAGTGCTAGATGAAGCGATTTCCCATCCTTAGCTTCTGTAGTTTATCCCCTCTTATCATGATATTTATAAGGAGGAGATAACTGTTTCTTGCAGGCTTGTTCTGGTATAGAATCAGGGAATACTGTATGTGTAGAAATATTCGCGGGCTTCAAATTTTCGCGATCTTCGCGGTGACATTCGATCCGCGAATTCATGTTTAGCGCGAATATTTCTACACGAATTATTCCTTAAAAGTCATATTTTCGCTTTCACACTTTTTATTTAAATATTTACTGAGTAATTGTGTTTTGGTTTCCAAGTTATTCATGATTTTAAAAAGTTAATGTTTGTGTTTTTTGTATTGTTCAGAAAAACCAAAACATGATCTAATCAGATGTCAAGATGTTTATGACGCAAACTATGATTAATTATACACGTTTACGGGCATTCTTTTGTTTGCTATAATCTGTCCGCTAGACAGTGTCTTTTTTCTGTACAATAGCGTATTTTTTGACACCTAGTATTGAAAATAATTGTGAACTCCCACGATGATTACAGTAATTTTCCTTATTTTTTAACCTGAGTGGTCTACGCGAATTTATGATTTTCGGCAGTCGCCTCCGCGAATTCAAAATAGCGCGAATATTTGTATAGACCCCCAAAAAGGACCTTTCCGCGAAAATTTGCTTCCGCGAATTTAAATACACATACAGTAAATGCCTGCTAACATATCACTAACATACTGTTGCAGTTTGACACTGTAACGAAAATAAATATAAGAAAAACAATTTGATAAACAATTTTTGAGAGTGCTTGTTTTTAATTCTGGCTGTAATTTTTGAAATTTTGAAAATTGTAGATTTTATCCCATTTGGTATTGATTGAAATACACTTGTTACAATCTACCCATCCTTTCCAGGTCACATAAATTTGCATTAAATTTCTCTGTAGCCACTTTACTATTAACCCTTATCAAGTCTAATATCTTAAACTTGCTAAAGTTCATCTTTCAGTATAGCCTTTCATTATTTTCAGGAAAAAAAAATCAAAATATGTACTGACTGAATAGCAAACAGGTAACAGACCATGATCTTTTGGTTAATCTTGTGCTGCACTGTTCACATGAGTTGTGCTTGTTTGCCATTCGCAGGCTTAATGTTAAATTATTCCTGTGAAACTCTCTTGGAAGGGTCGACGTGAAGACTTATCTTAATTAACTGAAATACAATTAACACAGAAGCCACACAAAACAGGAACATTCAGTAGTTGTTTATTGCATATGTTTCGGCTATATGCCTTCATCAGTGCAAAACATAATACAATTCTTTACTGAAATACTAAAACTTTGATCATTCATATAGACAAATACAGTAGATGCTTTTATATAGTCATTTTATGGGTTTTTTTAGCTCGACTTTTCTATGAAAAGGGGAGCTATCCTACTCGCCCCGGCGTCGGCGTTAGCGTTAGCGTTGGCGTCACACCTTGGTTAAGTTTTTCGTACCACCCCACTTTATTTCAGAAGTATTACAAGTATGGCTTTGAAACTTACCATACTTGTTCACCATCATAACCTCCATCTACAGACAAGAGTACATAACTCTGTCAAGGTTTTTGACAGAATTATGGCCCTTTTTTGACTTAGAAAGTGTATTGAGCTTGGTTAAGTTTTTTGTACCACCTCACTTTATTTCAAAACCATTGGAGGTATTGCTTTGAAACTGACCATACTTGTTTACCATCACGACCTTCATCAACAGACAAGAGGACATAACTCTGTCAAGGTTTTTGACAGAATTATGCCCCTTTTTGACTTAGAAAATACATTGAATATGGGTAAAATCCACTTATTGCCTTAACCCTTTGAGATATTGCTTTGAAACTTTTAATGCTATTTCACATCATTACCCCCATCTGTACGCAAGAGAAGGTAACTCTGTCAAGGATTTGTTTTAAAAATTAAGGCCTTTTATCGACTTAGAATCTTGGTTAAGTTTTTAGTACCAGTCCACTTTTTGACTGAACTGTTTGAGATATTAATTTGAAAGTTGGAATACTTGTTTACAATCATGATTCCCAAACATGTCCAGGAGAAGGTAATTCTGTCAAAGATTTTATTTGAATTATGGCCCTTAACTGTCAATGTTTTGTATTATAGGCAAGCACTAAAAAAGTCGAGCGCGCTGTCTTACGGACAGCTCTTGTTTTAAAACCATATCACTGTTTTATGTAAAACCATTTCTTTTATACTCATAAAGATATTAATACACTTTTAGTAGATATTAGTAGATAGAAATTTATAAACTGCTGATATATTTAAAAACAAGAAATATACTTTGTATAAAAAATATTTTCTTCTATTTTTTTCTAAAGTGTAAGAAATATTACCTAATTAAATGTTATTATTAATTTTAAAAATGGTAATCTAGAATTATGTTGTTTGCATAATCTTGTAGTTAATTTTCAGAATAGTTGTAACATAGAATGTTTTTGATTTTGCTGGATGCATGTATAATTTACATGTTCTTCAATAGAATAAAATGTTCTGGAACAAAGTAATATGCTGCTGTTTTTAGTAGCCTGAAAGTATTTATCGCTTAGCAATGATTTTGTACATTTTTGCCATACCAACATATTTCCTTTCATGTAGGCATTTCGTATTTTTTCGTTTTCTAAAAAAAAAAAACAATTTCTTTTTGTAAACTGCATGCAGCAAAGATATAGCTTGATACAATTAAAGTGGTAATTTATTAAAAAGACATGGTGGCAGTTAAATCAGAATGCCTACATATGTGTTAACAAAACCTTAAAAAATGCAACTAAAGAAATATATATAAATTAATAATTTAATGAATGTTGCATTACCACCTCCACAGAGCAACAACTCTTTAGGAGACAGATATTTTTGTTGTTTCTGTGTGGTGTTGCTCTATTATAAGAGATGTTTAAATCTTACTTTGGGAAAATTATAAATAGTTACTGTAAGCATAAAGGTAGTTGCTGTACAGAGGGTCACTTTGTATAAATATTCTCAATAGAAATTTCAGTTTACAAGTTTGTGCAAAATATGACAGAATTTTCCGTTTTTATCTCTAAATTTTTACATTGTTACTCTAGGTGAAAGAGATATGTTGCCTTTTTTCATATATAATAGATAATTCTTGCAAATGTTATGCATTTGAAGCTAAATCGCTCAATTTTTATACATGACAACATAAAAGTTTTAGAAGTTAGTAAAGTTTTTAAACATTCATGAAAATTAACATGCATCAGATACAGATTGCTTTATGGTTATAATACTAAAGACTTTGTAACTAGACCCTGGATTTTGCTAACAATAAGATGGTATAAAGAATATGAACCCTGGATTTTGCTAACAATAAGATGGTATAAAGAATATGAAGTGCATCATTTTTATAAAGAAATAATGTTAACTTATAATAATTTTATTTTATACAAAGGGATTGAAAAAGATACAATAAGTGTTGGTAGTTATTGCTAAATTATGTTTGTTTTATTTGTGTTAAGTTAATAGTTTTACAGACATTGATGCAGTTTTAAAATAGATAGTTAGATCTTAGCTTTCGTTCCTTCCTGTGCCTTTTTGTAAGATATGCCAATACTGTGTCAAGTGTCCAATTTTTGCTACTATGTATGCTATGTTAAAAGGCTCATTATGCCTGAAGTTGTATAATTTTTATTTCTCAAAAACTGTTTTTGGTATCTTGTTACAGTTGCCACGGCAATTGAATTAGTACTTTGTATGGAAGTCAAAATACTAGTATATTTACATTTTACTACTTTTCGGTACATAACTGCATGTTAAGGGTTACTTTTTTTCAGTTGTAAAACATCTAACATGCCCTTAATCCAAATTATTTAAACATCATGAAACACATTTTTGCCCTTTCTAATGAATTTAATAAAATATAGATTTCTGAGGCATAATGTGCTCTAAAATGTGTGATGCTGGAAGGTTCTTATATTTTTGTAGAGTCATTAAAGGTTAAAATTTAGATTAACAGGGTATTGGATAAATATGTTGAATATCTTTCCAAATAATTCTTGCTTCCAGTTTAGACAATCATTCTTTGGAATATGTATAATTACAGAAACGATTTATTGAATTACTATTGTCTACATGTATTTGTTCATGTACCAAATTTGCAAAATCAGATTTAGAACATTTGAGCCGTGTCACGACAAAACCAACATAGTGCGTTTGCGACCAGCATGGATCCAGACCAGCCTGCCCATCCGTGCAGTCTGATCAGGATCCATGCTGTTCGCTATCAGTTTCTCTACTTGTAATAGGGTTTGTAAGCTAACAGCATGGATCCTGATCAGACTGCGCGAATGCGCAGGCTGGTCTGGATCCATGCTGGTCGCAAACCCATTATGTTGGTTTGTCGTGACACGGCTCATCTATTTTTAAGTATTTTCTGAAAGTTTTTGGTGTGTTTTGTTAAATGTTTTAAAGCATGATATTATTTTGATATATATTATATTCAAATTGTTATAGATTATAACTTTCTGTTAATTGGTGCATATATAATTGCTCAACTTCGTACAGTGTCATGTCTCATCCAGATTTTATGCTGAACTATTTACTTTAAATGAAACATTAATGGTGCAATGAAAAGTTGTGTCTGGTTTCGATGTTGGGGAGAAACTATCTTGGTAATATAAGGTCAGAATAATTTGGGAATTATTTTAGCTAAAGCCTTAAGGTATTGGATATATCTTGTTTGTCTGAAAGAGGTTACTTTTAGCTTGTCTGTTTCGAACAAAAAGTCAAACTATTATGATCACTGCGGTGGCATCATCATTGTTGCTGTCATGCAAAAGCTTTAAAGTAGACCATTATTCAAACATTTCAAACGTTATCAACATAAAACTTAGAATACTTGCTGGTCATGACAAGGTACAGACAAGGGGCATAATTCTGAAAGCAATATTTTTCGTGTTATGCCCTTTCTAACTTAGACTTTTTAACAGACGAGCGTTAACATTGCATGTGGTGCTCTTGTTTATTCTGTCTGTCACTCAAACATTCACAAGATATTTGTAATGCTCAAATCATTAAGAAAGCCTTCCTTTTGATGTATTTTCATTTTGATATTAAAGTTGTCTTAA